TTTCATGGAATCCACTCCGCAGAGAGAGATACTGGGATGCCTTCAAGGTTGAAAGGTATAGCCAAAGAAAATAGACAGAACTTTCCAGTTGTTCTTTTCTACGATGGTTGCTAGCGAATTTATCTATGAATATATGTCCGATGTGCAGCTGTCAAGAAACAACATGACTGAAAGGCGGGAGCAGAAAATCTTGGAGGTTGTTGGATGAGTGCACTCGCGGCAAATGCAATGATGTAGATCCTGCTGGCATTTCACTGCGTCGCAGAACTAATGAATATTTTTCCAGATGAGTCCACAGCAGGATCTGCGAAATGTCGGAAATGTTCAAATTTAGATAGGCTGCAACTTGCTTTCCCACTTGGTGTGCCAAAACGATTGCTATGAACACGGCATCCTGGCGATTGGTTTTGAGTCTTTTGAGAAAAGGTGTAGGGCGAATCAGCGAGTTGAGCGGCGTTCCAGTGGAAACTCCCTCCAGGTTCAGGATTGACATCCTGAGCGAAGCTCCAGGAGTCTTCCCATTTTGGTGCCAAAATGCTTAGTTGGGGCAGTTGGGCTGGTGAGCCTGGTGAGCCTGGTGAGCACTCGTCTTTTACCCGTGGCCTCAGGGAAGCAAGGAATGTGGCAAAGTTTGCTGACCTAGCAGGAACGTTGTGCAACTTTAACATGTTTCTGCGCTATTTGGTGATTATTTTGTTACCTTGCACCTTCATGTGGATAAATGCCTTTGCTGTCTTGGCACTATTTGCTCTGTAGGCTCATCATCTGAAGCATTGAACAATTTGGCTTTCAACCAATGAAGTAGCTCCAGTCCAAACGTGGTTTGGATTCAATGACTCCAGCTACATCCTTGTCAAACTGGAAGTGACTGAACCATTTTTGCTCTTTCCCCCCTCTCTCTCTGCTTTGTCCGTCAGAGGCCAAGATCATCTCCGGATTTCAAGGAGTTGAGTTGTAAAAAATAAAGAAAAGTTGAGTTGTAAACTTCTTCTCAGCACTGAGTCACTGTTCAGCATCTGCACGCCATGGAGCCGAGCGATGACGGCATGCAGCCTGTGCCGCCTGGACGGCCCAAGCAAAGCTGGAAATACAAAGCTGCAGATGTCGCTTGTTCAAAAATGTTCAAAACGCTGGATGAATGTTTACCGAGTACTCAGTTCACTGTAAGTGGTTGGAGATGATTTCCCCATGAGAATGCTACGATAGCTATCATCAACAGGGTTAGAAGACCGAAGAACACGGAATATGCAATACTGAAAGTGGTGAACCACCTAGAAAAGACGATTTGAAATTGGCTTACTTAATGTGATGTGACTGTGATCGCTCGGTGAACAATGAAGTGCCAGCAGGAAACCACTGTCACAAAGTAATCTCCTGCGAGATTTGGCATGAATTCTGCTCGGACCCTTTTTTTGAGAGCTAAGCAGCTAAGGTCACCATGGGCTTCTCCTCTTTGCTTTCGAACCAGCGCGGTCCAAAGCCACTCAGACGTCCTCCTCATGTGGTCACGAAGGGAAGCCCTCCTTCTGCACGGAATGTTTGCGACAACTGCTCAGTTTCTCAAATGCAAGGTGCGCGCAGTGCACAGAAAGATCAGAAAGACAATTTTGCGGCTACCACAAAACCAATTCCCCGTATACGAGAAGTGAAGTTGTAACCCCAATTACCCAGTTGGATCTAAGTAACAAATAGTCCTAGGGGCTATCTCCATGGATCCAGAGTCTTGATTCAACACAAAACGAATTCGTAGGCAACTCTTCAGTGATCGGAACTATGCTACAGATTTGGTCCCTTGGGAGTTTGCTATTTGAAACTCATTTAGTGCATGGTGACTTGCAATTCCTCTTCTGTTCGACTGCCCTGAAGGTCTTTTACCGGCACCCAATGTTGAGAGCGAAGATGATGTGGATCAAGTGAAGCAAGCACCGCTCCCTGGCGTACTTGGCAGTGCCGTGGCCACTGGTGTGCCGTGTCCTGCTGGCAAAACAGCAAGGCCAGACACCTGCTTCATGACACACCGATATGTCACTTGGAAGCACCCAATCTCAGCAACACTTCGGCGGAATGTTCCGGAGTTTGAAGCTTAACCTTTGTTGACCTTTGTGATCCGTCTTTCCACAACAATATCACGCGTCATACATTTCCAAGTTACTTGATGTTATTTGATGTTATTTAATGTTACTTGAAGTTGATGTTGCTTTTGAATATGCTGAACTGCTTAACTGTTACTTGCCAGTGTGGAGAGTTGTGTTTTCTCAAGGTGAAGCAGGAGATGGCCTACCTGGCACGCCGCATCGATGAAGTAGGGCGATACTTTTTGGCCCTTGAATCAATGCTGGGAAGCTATGGCATGAGCTCAGCAACGCTTTTTTTGTTGAAACATGTTGAAAATAGTGAAAGGACGATCTTTTCCTGGTCATGTCATCATGTACTACAGTTGTAGACGATACATCACATACCGGACGACAGATATTCTCGATGCCTTTCCATACCAAGATACCAGTGACGGTGAAACACGGAGAAACGATATGTCATATTTATGTCCATTGAATCTTTAAAAGGATATGCTGCACAAATCCTGGAACCTTAGCAAAGGAGGCCATAGAGATGAACAATTCATGATTCAGTCATGATATATGACTTTGGGATGTTCAACCAAGCCTGAAGGAGCTCTTTCTTGCAGTTACATTAGCGAGATTTAGCGAGATTTAGCGAGCTTAGCAAGCTCAGGTTCTGGAGCCTTGGGGCCTGTGCTGGAGCGATGCCTCAATGAACTTGAATTCTATTTGCAGGAGCCAGAGAAGTTGGAGGAGAGATGGGGGAGACATGGGGGAGACATGGGGGAGAGATGGGTAGGAGTGTCAGTGTTGTTTCTTGTCAGTGGTAACAGTTATTGTTGGTAGTAAACTGCTGGGAGGGAGTTAATATAATATAAACTACTGTGCTCGTTTTTGCAGCAGCTTCCTCAAAAGTCGTGTTTCAACTTTTTTGCCATTATTTTGCCATTATATAATAAGAATTAATAAGCCCCTCACCCCAATCGTCATTTTTGCCGCATGTCAGCAGGAAGTTGAGGAAGCGCAGAGTTTCATCGATGCTGCGATCCGACTTGGGTTGAGTCCTGTGAAGTACAAGCCGTTGCAACCAGATCTAACTTATGCTCTGAATGTAATCGTTTATTTTGCCAGTAGGACCTTGCCAGATTTTGGAGAAACTTTGCAACAGGATTCGTTCTGTCTCCCAGCCCGAGCATCATTTTTTGACAAATCCGTCGAGAAATCACGTGTCAAGCAGCCAGGCAAGATCGCTTATCCTGGTTGTGCCATGGCAGACGTCAAGAGGAGCTGAGAGCAGAGTTGGCGAAGGCTTCGTCTGCAGAAGATGCTTTGACCCTTCAGCAACTCATCGATGACTCCCTCAGAAGTGGAATTGCTGCCAGAGAGATGCAGCCAGCGCGCAACTTGAGCGAAAAAGACGGTCTTCACCGGTTTGAAGTTTTTTTTTCCAAAAGTATCTCCGATGCTTGGGTTCTCGTTTAGTTTACGTTGCCGCGGGTGGAGCGAGACGGAAGGGACAACATCATGAACGGAAAGGAAACCGTGGGAAATAGCTTGGGGAGAGCTCCGTTGGGAGGGAGCTAGACGGAAGCGACGATATCATGAACGGAAAGGAAACCGTGGGAAATAGCTTGGGGAGAGGTCCGTTGGGAGGGAGCGAGACGGAAGCGACGACATCATGAACGGAAAGGAAACCGTGGGAAACAGCTTGGGGAGACTTCGTTGGGAGGGACGACGACATCATGAACGGAAAGGAAACCGTGGGAAATAGCTCGGGGAGAGCTCCGTTGGAAGGGAGTGAGACGGAAGCGAAGGCAACGGACGGAAAGGAAGCCGTGGGAAATAGCTCGGGGAGAGCTCTGTTGGGAGGGAGCGAGACGGAAGGGACAACATCATGAACGGAAAGGAAACCGTGGGAAATAGCTTGGGGAGAGCTTTGTTGGGAGGGAGCGACATACTGAGAATGCAGAGCTGTTGGCACGTGTTTTCAGGACAAATTCCATCAATGCGGTTGTCCCGAAAAACTGTGTGCCCAAGACTTTTCAATGTGGATTGCAAACGTTGGGCGATGGGACATGCATAGCTTCGTTGGCAGGGAGCGACGCTAAAAATGCACAGCTGTTGGCACGGGTTTTTTAGGACAAATTTCATCAATACGATTGTTCCGAAAAACTGTGCGCCCAAGACTTGTCAAAGTTTCCAAACCCTGGGCCATGGGACGTGCGTAGCTTCGTTGGCAGGGAGCGAGACTAAAAGAGCAGAGCTGTTGGCACAGATTTTTCAGGACAAATTCCATGAACGCGATTGTCCCGAAAACTGGTGCCAAAGACTTCTCACATGGTCTCTGAACGCTGGGCAAAGAGACATGCATGGGAAAAAGTTCTTTGCTGGAAGGGTTTTCATTTTGCACAGCGTTCTGTCCGTCGATGCTTGGTTTTCGCTCCGTGAGCAGCGAAGCAAAATTAAACGAGAACCAAAGCATAGGATATGCATCAGAGTGAACGGACAGGTGGGAAAATAACTTGGAAAGAGCTCTGCCGGGAAGGAGTGGCACTGAAAATGCGGAGCTGTTGGCACACAAAGCAGCTTTTACACAGAGGAGCTTTACACAGAGGAGCTTTACACAGAGGAGCTTTACACGGAGGATCTTTTGCACAGAGAAGCTTGTACACAGGGAGGACTTTACACACAGAATCTTTTACGCAGAGGAACTTTTACACAGGAAAGGTTTTACACACAGAAGCTTTTACGCAGAGAAATCTTTATACGGAGAAGCCTTGACACAGAGAAGCTTGCGCACAAAAAGGCTTTTACACAGAGAAGCCTTTGACACAGAGCAGCTTTTACACAGAGTAGCTTTTACACGGAAAGCTTGTATACACAGAGGCTTTGACACAGAGAAGTCTTCTACACAGAGAAGTCTTTTACACAGAGAAGTCTTTACACAGAGGAGCTTTTACACAGAGAAGCTTGTACACACAGAGGAGCTATTACACACAGACGCTACTACACAAAGAAACTTTACACAAAGAAACGTTTACACACAGAAACGTTTACACACAGAAGCTTTTACACACAGAAGCTTTTACACGGGAAAGCCTTTACACAGAGAAGCTCTGACAAACAGAGGTTTTACCCAAAAAAGCCTTTACACAGAAACTTATACACACAGAAGCTTTTACACACAGACGCGTTTACACAGAGGAGTGTTTACACACGGACGCGTTTACGCACAGAAGCCTCTACGCACAGAAGCTTTTACACAGAGAAGTCTTTACACAGAGAAGTCTTGACACAGAGAAGCTTGTACACACAGAGGCTTTTACAGAGAGAAGTCTTTTACACAGAGAAGTCTTCACACAGAGACACAGAGGAGCTTTTACACAGAGAAGTCCTTACACAAAGGAGATTTACACACAGAAACTTTTACACAGCGTAACGCGCAGGATGTTTTACAAATAAAGGCCTTTACGGCGCACAGACACTTTTACACAGAGCAGCTTTTACACACAGAAGCTTTTACACAGAAGCCTTTACACAGAGAAGCTTTTACACACAGAAGCTTTTGCACAAGGAAGCTTTAAGCCTTTTTCACGGAGAAGTCTTACACAGAGGAGCTTTTACGCACAGACGGGTTTACACAGATAAGTCTTTACACAGGAGTTTTTGCACACAAAGTTTTTACACACAAAAACCGTTTGCGCACAGAGGAGCTTTACACACTACACAGAGAAGCTCTTACACAAAAGCTTTTACACACAGAAGTTTTTACACAAAAACGCCTCTACTCTACACAGAAACTTTTACACACAGAAACTTTTACACAGAATCTTTTACGCAGAAGCTTTTACGCACAGACGCGTTTACACAGAGGAGTGTTTACACACGGACGCGTTTACACACAGAAGCCTTTACGCACACAAGCTTTCACACAGAGTAGCTTTTGCACAGAGAAGCCTTTACACAGAGAAGTCTCAACACAGAGAATCCTGTACACACAGAGGCTTTTACAGAGAGAGTCTTTTGTACAGAGATGTCTTGACATAGAGGAGCTTTTACACAGAGAAGTCCTTACGCAAAGGAGATTTACACAGACATGCTTACACACAGAAGGTTTTACAAATATAGAGGCCTTTACGACGCACAGAAACTTTTACACAGAGCAGCTTTTACACAGAAGCTTTGACGCAAAAAAGCCTTTACACAGAGAAGGTTTTACACACGAAACTTTTACACAGGAAAGCTTTTACACACAGAGCTTTTTACACCGAGAAGTCTTACACAGAGGAGCTTTTACGCACAGACGGGTTTACACAGAGAAGTCTGTACACAGAGGAGCTTTTGCACACAGAATCTTGTACACACAGACGCGTTCACACACCCAGAAGGTTTTACATTCACAAGCAGACAACTTTATGGCGCACACAACTTTTACGTAGAGCAACTTTTACACAGCGAAGCTTGTACACACGGGGAGCTTTTATACACAGAAGCTTTTACACAAATATTTTTTACACACAGAAGCTTTTACACATAGAAACTTGTACGCACAGAAGCTTTCACGCACAGAAGCTTTAACACAGAAGCCTTTACACAGAGGAGCTTTTACACACGACGCGTTCACACAGAAACTTTTCCACACAGAAGCCTTTACACAGACTAGTTTTTACACAGAGAAGTCTTTACACAAAGAAGTCTTGACACAGAGGAGCTTCCACACACTCACAGAGGCTTTTACACAGAGAAACCTTGGACACAGAGCAGCATTTTTACAGAGGAGCTTTTACACAGAGGAGCTTTTACACAGAGAAGCTTGTACACCCAGAGGCTTTGACACATAGTAGTCTTTTACACAGAGAAACTTTTGCGCACAGAAGCTTTTACACAAAAAAACTTAAGACAGAGGAACTTTTACACACAGAAGCTGATACGCAAGGAAACTTCCACAAACAGAAACTTATACACACAGAGGGCGTTTTACACAGAAACTTTGACGCAGAGAAGCTTTTACACAAAAGAGCCTTTACGCAGAGAAACTTTTACACACAGACACTTTTACCCACAGAAGATTCCACACACAGAAGCTTTTACACACAGAACCGTTTACACACAGAAGCTTTTACACACAGAAACTTTTACACAAGGAAGCTTTTACACACAGAAGCTTTTACATACAAAAACTTTTACGCAAAGAAACTTTTACACAAAGAAACTTTTACACACAGAATTTGTTTCACAAAACACCTTACACAGAGGAACTTTTACACAAATAAACTTTTACGCGCAGACGTGTTTACACACAGTAGTTTTTATGCATAGAGACTTTTGTGCAGAGGTCTGTGCCCATCTTTCATCATGTCTCATTTTTCATGATCACTCACCATCTGTCATCCTCATGTCTTCGTTTTCATGCTCTTTTGGTCAGCTCCTGCCGTCGTTTAGGTTTTGTTTCGCACAGTGTTCTGTCCGTCCATGCTTCGTCCTCGCTCCCCCTGCGGCGAAGCAAACTAGACGAGAACCCAGGAATAAATAACGACTAGAAAGATGGGATAGAGTTAATTGCAGTAGCAGAAATAACGACTAAAAGAATGTAGACGTAGCTGACGCAGCATGCTGTGGTGAGTTGTGGCCCCTGATGCTATCAGCGCGCACGATGTTTCAATAAAGATCTTACATCGATTTCGAGCAGAGCACGGTTGCCCACGCCTTTAAAAAAAAACGTGCTGTGCGCTGTCTTGCCTTTGGGTTCTCTGGCCCACCTTGTTTTTTCCCCGGAGGGTAAGACATGGTAAGGTCACATTGATTCAAAGTGGGAACCGGCACGCTTGTTCAGAAGAGGGCCAGAAAAACAACATGCCTGCTCTAGTCTCCCGCGTTTTTCTATTTTCACAGAGATTTTGTTTCCCCAAGTGAAGCTTCCATGGCTATACGGAGAGCCAGGTCTGCAGTTGCAAGAGCTTGAACAGCAGGACTACAATGAGAGGTTCTTGGCCGCTGCTTGCGCGGGTGATGTGGAGACGGTGGAGGAAACTTTGAGGAAAAGAGGGGACTGCAACTCGCAACAGATGCTTGGCAAACCTTCATGAGGCCAAAAAGATCCAACAAGGAATCAAACAAACTCAAGTGGTCCAAAAGGCTAAAAGGGATGGATACCGAAACTACAAATCATACATCAAGCCAGCCTCTGTCTCAGATGTTTGATGTCAAGAATAAAGTTGAGGTTGGAAATGTTGCAGAAAAGTAGATGGAGGTCCTTGTTTGATCAAAATTTGATCCTTGGTGTGCTTCCCCTGCTTCCCCTTTCAAATTTGCCCAGGAAGTGCTTTCCTGGCTTCTCATTGTGGCACATTGCTGCAGAGAAGGGTGACCTATCCTTGGCAGAGCTGGCGAAATCTTTCAAGTGTAAGACGGTGCCATGGCTTGGGCATGACAGATGCCAAACATTTTTTTACAAATGGAGGTTTTCGAAACCTGCAGCATTGAAGCAAGCCTTTGTAGGGTTTCCCTGGGATTTCATAGGTTTCCACTGGCCACTGGCACTGGATATTTTTGGATTCCGGTTGGTTCTGGTTGGTTCCGGTTGGTTCTGTTGGTTCCGGTGCCTTGAGGCGTTGCTGGACCATTCTGGCTGGAGTGCCTTGATGTTGGCCTCCGCAAAGCACGACCATCGCTTGGTCCGTGCCCTGCTGGATGCTGGAGCTGATCCCAGCACCAGGACTCGAAGCAAAGCCTGCAAAGCCTAGTGGCCTAATTACATATTGAGACATGACATATTCTATCATATTGTCACGTGGCATCCCGGCATCCCCAAGATTCCCTGGGTAGGTCCATGATCGTGATATGCCTTGTGATGCCTACAAATCAAGAATTGTTCTTTGGCTTTGTATTTGGTGCAGCAGAAAATCGTCAGGTTGAGGCTATAGATCTAGACTTCTTTCGACATTTCATCCCTCACACTGTCGCCTTTGGCAAAAAAATGACACTGTGTATTTCATTTCCATGGCAGGAGCTCGAGTTCCGAGATGATTGTGAACTGTGACACGGATGAACAGTTGCAGTCAGTCAAGGGACGCCTGGATGAGACTGGGCGTCGCTCAGCTGAAACTGCCATATGCCTTCTGTCCCAACTTGCAATAACTTTCCCAACAAGCTTTCTTTTATATAAGTATATTTTCTCTCTATGTGCCTAGCAGAAAGGGCATTTGGAAACTTGGCGTGACCATCCGCCCATCCTTAAAATAACTAGGGCTAACTAGGGACTATCAAGATGCATACAGTATACTTGTTGAAGGTACGTCTTGCAAGAGCCCACCCACAGGAATAAAGAGGTTGAATTCTGGATGCATGCAGACCTAAAAAGGATGTGTATAGCCTTCTCCGTGTTTCAAGGCTTCTTTCTCACCTCCCTTCAATCATCCAGGGTATGATTGGGATGTTCAGATTCAGGAAAACCAGGAAAACCAGGTCTGCCTTGTCTGCCTTGAGTTCCTATCTAGACTGCTTTGTGATGTCAGGCATCGGTTGCTTTTTTGAATGGACCAACGCCACCACCGCTGCGACCTTGGATCTTGGGGACCAGCTGCTGGCTGGGGAAGAGCTGCTGTTGCCAACGCTACTTGGATTCACCTAGCTGACCTAGCTGACCTAGTTGACCTCGCGTGTGAAATGAATCGGAACTGGTGCCGGGTTCCTCCGCGGAGCTTGAAACAGCCACGTATTTCTTGATATTTTTTGAATGAATCTGTCGGGCTCTGGGCTCTAAGGTTCCAGAGAGTTGGTGGTCGAACAGCCCTGCACACTGCTCTTTTGCGACCGGGGCATGAAAGCAACAGAATTGCGGTGCTGGATCAGATCCTATCTCACGACATATCTGGGGCTGGTGCCCTCGTGAATGTCCAGGATGACATGGAAAGAAGCCCTCTGTGGTATGCTGTGAAGGCAGGATTTGTTGGATGCGCTCGACATCTCATTCGAGCTGGCGCGCTTGTTTCCATGGGCTCCATGTCTTGTTTGCACTTCGGATTTCAAGGCAACGTTTTTTCCATGTTTTTTTCACTTTTCACAATTGTACATAATTAATAATTTACATATGACTAGACCAGAATCTCCCAAGTTATGAGGATGTTTTCTGCTTTCCAGTGTACTTTGTAACCCAGGCGGGCTGCTGTAATGTTTATTTCTGAAGAAGCAGCTGATGATTCGGTGATGTGCTGTGGCGAAGATATGTGCCGACTACTCCTCCGGAATGGAGCATCTGACTGCATGGAAGAGATAGCAGAAGCAGAGGCTGTTTTGGAAGTTGACCTACGTAGCTGCCACTTGGATAAAGTGGAAGCGCAAAGTGCCCCTGTGACCTGAAAACCTTGTGTTGGATGAAGCGTGCTAGCTTCAATTGAACAACTTTGAATCTGCTCCCTGTTGGACAAGTGTTTTCTCCCTAGGAATCTTTCTGCTGTCAGACTTTTGAACATCCCCCCAAACAAAACTGGAGGACATCATCCAACTATCTCAACTTCCTAGATTTGTGCGGAAAGATTGTACCGACTCGTTGACAGTGTCCAAGGTCAGGGGGCTTTAGAATTGGAAGATGCTCTGGATGCTGATATTACCGCACAAGTTACGTTTTTAGAGTGCAGCCAAGCGCTCCTTGTCCTCTTGGAGACCGGGAAAGGAGATGATTCGAAGACGTGTCCCAAAGATCCGCAGCCTCAGATTCAGTGAAAATATAATGGCATATAATGACTATACAATACTATACATATGAAAATAATACAGACGTACACACACACACACACATATATATATATACATTATGTGTATATATATATATTATATGGGGATCATAGTCATAGTTACATTATATATATACACGTATATCACATATGGGGATTCATAGTCATAATAGTTACATTCTGTATATATATATATTATGGATATATTGAATGCAGAGTGACTCATCGGACCTCCATGGCACGGTATCTGCTTTCTTCAGCGGTGGAGGCTTGAAGATGACTACGATCTGCGCTTGTTGACGCAGCGCCCACAGAGGAGCATTGCCTCAGCGGATGAAGCAGCGGACTTCGCCCGTGAAGTTCGGGAAGAGTTGGAAGTTTCTTGGCGCCATGGTCGACACGGTCCCTTAGAGGGAATGTATCGAAGGTCTAGAGCCGAGTTGATGCCCTGATTGGAAATGGACCCAAAGTCTATGGTAAAGTTGAAGAGTGCTGCCAGGGTGGTTTGAAGCAAAGAACAGAGTACAGTTGGTATCTAGATGCTTGCATGTTAGAATTCAGAGGTCTATGATTCTATTTATCTTTATTATCCCTGATTTGTCTGATTCATTGTCTTGCAGGACAGAGACCGAGTTCAGTGAAACCTTTGATTTTTCACAAGCACTACTAGTCGAAGGAAGTTTAGGAGTCAAACTTCCGACAATATGGACAGATGAAAAGCAGAGATGGGAAGAGTCAGAGAAGAGAAGAGAAGAAGAAAGAAGATCAAAAAGAGAAAGTCTCAGAAGAAAGAAGATCCAGGTGCGCGAAAAGGTAGCGAAACACTGCGTTTTTCCAATGATTTGTGGCTCCGGAGGGTCGAAAAGTAGGCTCGCTAAAGCGGCGGGTGCGGAGCCAGCTGGCCAGATGAGAGATGACAAATTGCACACCGTTGTGGCGCGAAGCACATTTCCAAGTCAAAATGCACAAAACACCTCAGCTCCGGAGCACCTTTAGAAGCTGCGATGTCGAAAAAGCGTACGCCGTTGTGGCGCGAAGCACATTTCCAAGTCAAAATGTACAAAGCACACCAGCTCCGGACCACTTTTGGAAGTTGCGACGATGAAAAAGTGCACGCTGTTGTGGCGCGAAGCACATTTCGAAGTCAAAATGTACAAAACACACCAGCTCCGGACCACTTTTGGAAGTTGCGATGATGAACAAGTGCACGCTGTTGTGGCGCGAAGCGCACTTCGAAGTCAAAATGTACAAAGCACACCATGTCCGGACCACTTTTGGAAATTGAGATGTCGAGAAAGTGCACGCGGTTGTGGCGCGAAGCACATTTCGAAGTCAAAATGTTAAAAACACCAGCATTTTGGACCTCTTTTGGAGGTTCAGATGTCGTTTCGCATGGCAGGCGCAAGGGATTGTGGACCTTGTCAAAAGTGAGCAAAACGTGAGGGTTTTGTAGCATTCCCAAAAACGATGACAGGCGTGGGACATTTGAAGAGGATCTGCAAAGATGCAGTTTCCGTGGCAGGCGCAGTACAAGGGACATGTTCATCAGAGCTGTTAGGAGGTCCGGGCGCTGATTTCTTGAGAGGGTTTGCATTTTGGAGCATCAGATCTTCAGGTTTGTTGAAATGATTTTGCGCGACAGGGGCAGCACTTCGTACGACCTGGCATCACTTTTTCGTGGCAGGCGCGGTACTTCAGACAGGTGGACTGGAAAAATCGCAAAAACGCATTGGTACGAGGCCGTCAGCTCTGCACTCAACTTTCCATCCTATACGTTTCCTATTTTTGAAACTTCCGCCACCGCCTTGTGCGGTACTACTGGTAAGAGAATGTGAGCGGTTCACCAAGTGATCCTTGAGGAATTGACCTGTTCTGTAGCTCATGCCTTTGGAGGAGCTGCTGGAGTGGTGTATCCAGTTGTAGGAATTGGTGTGGTGTCGTTTGTGAGATCAGAGCACGGTTCTTTCAATTCTTTCAACTGGAAGGGACTGGAAGATATTGAAAAAATCAACAGTTTCAAACTTCAACAGAAACTGCAGAAACTGCGGAGTAACCCATTGCCGCAGCACTGTCAGAGCAGGATACGTGGAATTTGCACCAGAGCCAACTGCGGTGCGGATGTCCAGATACTCGCCTGCTCAAAGCAATGTGCTAACGTGTTTGATTGCCTGATATCTTGAGGTGTGTGGGAATCGCTCATGCATGTCATTTTAGTGAAGTACTACAGTAGATGAGTTGCAATCTTTTGAGATTTGGAATGGTTTTTGACTGAAGAAGTAACATTATATAGACCCTACAGTACATGATCCTACCGTACTGAATTCCAATCTAAACTTGATCAGGATCCAGTGCTATTGAAACCTTTATCCACACTGCTGTGATCAAGGATTGTATAGACAGCAGACTCGACAGGGCTGGATTGATGCCAACGACTGGGTTTCTTGTCAGAAGTGGAATTCCAAACGACGCAATGATCGAGTGTGCTGAATTGCGACCAAGTGCTACTGGAATGGTGTAAAACGTGCAACCATCATTGAACATTATCCCACGTTTCTATGCGACTTCAGCTTGGTTTGGATGACCAGGCTTCTGTGGTTGGTGGTTGTGAAGCCACCCTGGTCTTTCCAAAGCTGGAAGATGTCTTCCTGGCCAGATTTACAGGGCCATTGTTTCAGGTTGTTAGTTTAGGGTGATCGTGCCAACAGTTGGTGGAAGACTTTGAACAGAGTTGGTACGTCAAAGTTGTCAAAACTTCAGAGTACAAAGGCTTCTTCTACTTTGACCCACGGCAGTGTGGCTGCACGGAAGGTCTACCATGCATTGGAAGAAATTGCAGGCGCCTACTCATTCCAAATCCGAGGCAGGGCATTGCTCAACATTGAAATAAGCAGCCTGAAACAGTGTCAAAAAAAGCAACATGTAGTCCTTCTGAAGAGACGGATGCTGCCGGCAAGCCCTAGCCCATTTCCCAGCATTGGCACAGGAGTACAGGACAATCTTCTTAGTGGAAACTCGCAATTCACGCATCGTGATTTTTGGCTGCAAGGGTACATTTTGGCACTGATTGGAGAAACTTAGAAACAACCATACTGAGACACTGAAGGGTGGCTTCATTTCTGTTGGGTGGCACGGAAGTGGACCAGCACTAAGGGGCGTAGGGGCGCTGGCGATTCCACTGAGGACTCGACTTATGACCAAGATTCGCTGGATGACCGGACCACAGCTGCAGAAGTGGCAGCAGCCAGGGTGGCAGCTGCAACCCATGTTGCAGTGCAGCGTATTGCAGCAGGCTGCAGCGCCGAGAATGGAGAGAATGAGGAGGGCAAAGAATGGGCAGCTAGCAGTTGGGAGAAGCTGGAAGACCCAAAGAACCATTGCAGAGCTTTGTTTGCCTTGGACCTGATATAATTATTTGATATGACCAGTGCATCTTGGTGCTACTTTTGTCTCTCTAGCCCTGTTGGTCAGGAGATTGCAAGAGAGGTGGCGGTCAAGGGCATGGCCAACGCTGCAGATGCTGCATTTCGCTCTTTGGGGCTGGTGGAAGAGGTGCCAAGCCTTGGAGGATCTGTTCCGTTGGTTATATGATATGTGTAGTCGGTGTAGATTAATGTTATAGATTTAATTACGTTTAGTTGATGGAAGCTGCAAGCTGTCGATTAGCTTTTTCTGCCTGACCCAGAAACCCAGTGGACGATGAATTTTTGATCTCGAAGATGATTTCAGTTTCGGGATTCCTTACAACGTCTTTCCCAAGATAGCGAAGCTATTGGGGGCTGGTGCCGCTGCAGGGTCTCCCCATCCTGTGCACGGAGGCGCCTGATGGTGTTGATGGCCCCGGTGGCTCTAAAAGTGGCTCCAGAAGTGGCTCCAAACCTGCATCGGATGTCCTCACCGCGATGGATTCTTAACTGAGCAGAAGGGTTGGGGCTGATGGGGCGACGAAACAGATCCCGTGCCCACAATGGATCCTGTCACCAGGGTATGTTTGAAATAAATCTAGTTCGCACCGTCTCCTTGCCAAATGCATCGATGTGAGGAAAGAGGCAGCTTGCTCCAGGATGCATCCATTGAATTCGTGGAACCGGTTTCCTGGACTTAAGCAGATTATGCATCTTTTTGCTGCACAGAAGATCGCACCTACACTAGATCGAAAGCTGCTATTGGTGATTGACTGATGCGGTGCAGCCCCAGACCCTCTCCGCCTGCAAGATCTTTAGGTGTTTGAGGCATTGATTGGGAGGAGGTGCATACCACTAATCGGAAGCTGACAATCAACCCAGACTGCCACTCCACAAAGGGTGTTTGAACCAATTTTGATCACATCCTGAGATTCTATGCCACCTGATTGCTCAGTGTCTTGTACATGTTTCCATTTGAAGACAGAGAAAGGTTTTATTCACTAGGGATCAGATGAAATGTGATAAAACATGGTTTGAGGACACTGCTCACCGAATGGTAGACCGTGCAGCACAAGCTTACAAGCCCCGCTAGCTGGTTTCAGTCGGCAATGATGATATTCAGATGTATCGTCCAAATTTCATCAGGCAATGCCTATCATTTGAGCAGTGACTCTGCTTTTAAACATGATTACTGCATACAACACTTAAACCGCGTTTTGCTTCGCGTAGCCTTTCGCGGCTGTACGTGGGTATTGCGTGCGATAGGTTTTATGTATATAGTTATTCTGTTGTACCTATGGCGCGGAGAAATTGAGCAGGCTTGCCATGGTGTGTCTAAGGGGCAATACAAGGGCCCGCACAACAAAATACTGCTCATTTTCAACAAACCCCAAACTTCGGAGACACCAAAAACTGAACCTTAGTTACACCCTCAATTTTCAGATCAGACACCAATTCTGTCATGCTTCCCTTTGAGCGAGTTCCCATTGTCTCTTGATCCGGCTGAGGTATACCCAGATGTGCAACTTTTGATCGATTGTTCTGGGTGCGTCTGCCTTCTGCGACTTACCACGGAGCGGGTGCATGAGGCAGTACTAGTTGTATGTTGGATACAGGGAGCTTTGTGTGGAAACTGAAGATTTAGGAAGCATTTAGGAAGCATGTCAGCATATGTCAGCTATGGTCCGAGCCTAAAGCAAACATAGCAAGCGTGGTCGTGGGCGGGGAGCCGGTCTCAGCATCAGGAACCAATGCCTTCATCTGCTCCAGCAGATTCACATGTAAGACATGTGTGCAACATGGATTTCCCATCGGCACCGGGGTATTTCAGAGTTTGAGGAAAAGTTGGATGACATTCTCTCTAGACGTGCGCAGGTGGTCCAAGCTGAGTTGGATACTGGACGCTGGGTGCTGGAGGAGTTGGCCACTGCAATGAGGATATCTTTGCTGGCGTCTGAAAGTGTCTTGCCGCATTTCATGTCCTGAATGCAACATGACAGCGACCATTTGAAACTCTGCTTGCAGCAACGCTGAGGGCGAAAGATGCCCAACAGCTTTCAATTCAATGCAGACAGAGCCCACACTATGCAAAACCTCTGGTGAGAAACTGGAACTCCAAGCTTCTTTGACTTTCTGTGTGACCTGAGGCGGCAGTGATGGTGAAGATGAGATCTTGGAGATCTTGGACGCAGCTGAAGCACGTTTCGGTCGCCAGTACTTGGCTCAGATCCTTGGAATCCCGTTGCAGGTGCCTGGGATGGATATCTCAGAGACGTCGTCAGAGAGGTCGTCAGAGAGGTCGTCAGAGAGGTGGTGATAGTCAGGGGATGTCAGGGGCAAGGCCACGGCCACCACGGCCACCACAGCATCCCAGAGCTTCATTTTCGCCAGGATGGCTGGTCCTGCACTGTGGCTGGCCTCGCAGCTCATTGTGGTTTCGCAAGCGTTTTGCAGATACCTGGAAAAAACATAAAACATTTTCCCATCCCATGGTCAGGTGAAATGCGAATGCCCGATTTCCATACCTGAATTTTGTGGTTTTGGGTGCAATGCTCTCTCTGATTCTATAGCTCCGGAAGAGATTCGTTGAGATCCACAACACACTCCCAGAATTCTTGGGGATCTCTTCGTCACGACATGTAGCTTGCGTGCATAGACGATGGTGTTTTGTTGCCCTGAGGATCCTCATTGATGCTGGTGCACCTATCAGCCAACCACGCCTTCCTGCCTCATGTGCTCCTAGGGGTGCCTATCCAGCAAGAGCGGTCACAACAGGGGTCGCATAGATTATAATGATATACTGTAAAATGTAAAACAGATTTATTCATATTGCAGAATGGACTAGTGCCATCCCACACTGGAGGGATGCTTCCAAACACGTTGGGGATGCTACTGCAATCACTGTAATTGCAGTTCGCATACGCTCCTTTCCCAAACCACGAGCGTTCCAGCTTCCAATTAGGGTTGAATGCAGTAGCTAAAGCGCAGAAGGATAAAACGCCCAAATACCTCTAGACTCTAGGTGCGTGCAGACCAGTACGACTCAGGTGACTACAGCCCCTTGTCCTTGGCAATTGCAGCGCAGCATTGGGAGTGCATCTCACTCCTGATTGCTTGTGGTGGCTGGGATGCGAACGCATGACAATTTGCTCTTAAGAATGCATGAGTGCCGATTCATAGAGAACCCCATGCAACAGAAGTGACTTAGAAGAACCCCAAATGTGCAATGAACAATTGCCTATGTTGGCATGGATATGGGACTCCATATGCATCGGTAGTATAGAGGAGTGCTCATTCTTCTGTCGTCACTCTGCAAGCTTCTTTCCCAGATCCAGACCAAGTCTACCACCAAAAACAAACTATGGTGGAAGCGAAAAGATGGCATGTCGGTTTAGGTTATCGTGTGGATCTTTATTCTTATTTGATTGAACCCCCAAGCAATCCGTAAAAAACAGTTTGGTGTACAATGGATAAGGATTTGTTGGAACCAAGGAGCCGATCCATTCGAAGATGGTTTGGAGGAGTTGGCCAGACATCAGAGCTTCACAGAAGCCTTCCAGGACAAGGGCTTGGATTTGGAATGACTTGGATATGAAATGATATTATCAGTAGCAGAAATGATTGAAGACTAGCTCCATTCTAATTTGTAAAAGAGCTATTTATATTCTGCAAAAAATGTGCATGTTTTTTTTTGGGTGTCCCTTTTGTATCCTCTTGTAGGAAAAGATCACAGGCTTGTTGAACTGTGCCCGTGAGCAACGCCTCGTGGACAACAATGCCCTTGCCGCTATGGTGAAATCGGTGAAATCCACCAGCTTGCCCGAAAAGATCCAGCGCTATTTGGCATTTGGTCCAAGCCTTACACCCTACCTGCCCTACCTGGCCTAGTTACCACATGTTACCAGGTTACCTGTTGGAATGGTCCGCTGATGTCCGCTGTACCAATGTGACATGTAGGCCTGTAGGCCCACATGTATAGATTGTGGTGTGAATGCTCAACAGTTGACTCAGTTGACTCAGCATTGCTTCCCCAGGTGCGGATCCGAACGCTGAGTTGATGCTGAATACAGCTGCAGCAGCTGGGCAGCCGGAGCTGGTGACTTTACTCCTGGATTTTGGAGCCATGGTGTCTTGGTGACTTCTTGGTGACTTCTTGGTGACTTCTTGGTGACTTCTTGGTGGGTCCGACCTGGTGTTGGTTGAGATTGTTTGGAATATTGGATTAAAGGGTCTCAGCTGGATGTGGAGGGTGATCTGCATCATGGATCATGATGGTACAAAGAGAAGAAACGATAAGAAACATATTTGCACGACCTGGCCAAATCAAAGATGCAACTGACCGCAGCCGCAAGAGAACGGCTCTGTATGTATGTATATATGTACATATGTATATGTATAATATACATGGAGCCGAATCTCTCCCGTCCCTGTGTGTTGTGTTTTGGCAATCTTTGGTATCCGATGAAGATACCAACCAGGTTCTACCTGAAACCTTGGACTTGGCGAAAGGCACCCGTGCAGAGGAGGTGGTGTCCGGGAGCCAAGATCTGAGATGCTCAGACGGCCATGGGAGGTTAACGCAAGCTAAGTCTGGGTCCATTCGAACATCTGAAACTTGCATCCTGTGTGTTCAGGAGGAAGATCTGCTTTCCTAAAAACTCCCCAATATCTATTGGCGTTGGGCAAGGCAGAGAGGGAACCTAGGTTTCCTCAGTGCATACTACTACATCATACTATGGCATGGTGAACAATGCATCATTTAAACCAGGTGAGTGTCCAGCTCTCAAAGGTGCTGTGTGTGACTGGTTGTGACAACAGATGATTCAAACTCAAACTCCTGAATGACCAGACAACGTGTGGATACCTGTGGGTTATCAAAATCCAAATATTGAAAATACAAAAAAATGCTAATCTGAAGCCATCTCTCTGGGTCTTTAGCGGCTTTCATTTTGGGGATCTGGATGCCACCCAGAGCCTCCCCAAGGCGCCGCCGCGCGCGGGCGCGGCTGCACCGAGCAGCTGAAGTGCATGATGTGGTCACGATGATCCAGTGCCATGCCGGGTGAAATCGGGTGAAACACCTAGCAACGAAAGGGATAAATCATTGGCTATGAAAGGAATGAAAGGGTCAAGTGAGTCAAGTGCAGCATTGTGCGATATTGTGGATGTCTGCACTCTGCACGCTCAGGTTGGTGGAAGCTGGCCTGGATCCCGATTCCATGCTGCCGGACACTTGACTAAGATGGATTAGATTCGATTGTTGTTTTGCCTTGTGTGTTGCAGAAAGAGAGATTTTGTTTATGTGGCTGAAGTGATGTGTTTTTACCATCTTCTCGCTGGATAGACATTCTGCAGATGCGGAGAATGTTCTCAACTGTTCTCAAGAATGTGTTACGCGACAAGTTCGTGCCCTGCAATGCAAGGACCGAAGTTCGCTTTTGACCTATGCTTCTGCGGGAGACGGATCACCTCATTTTGACCTCGTGACATTGACTGCACAAAAATGCATCATGCGGAGCAGGTGTTGGTTTGGATACGGCCTCGCTTGTGCCCGTCGATTTGTCTCGCTTGTGCCCGCGCAGCCCCTTTCAGTCATTTTACGCAGCAGGGCTGAGGGAAACAGCATCGCTCCACAAGTTTAGCGTGTTCAAGAGCAAGCGAATAGAAGCATCTTGCTGAAGTAGCTACCTTGATGACATGTTGAAGTAACTTGGAAGACAGCCTTGATGCTATATCTAAATCATGTTCAAGTATTGTGGAAGACGCTCCTGAGGGTATGTTGGAAACATGCGGAAGTAACTTGGAAGTCTTGGAAGACGGTGTCAATGAGACTTCGATGACATGTTGAAGTAACTTGGAAGACAGCCTTAATGCTATATTAAAAACATGTTGACGTAACGGGGAAGACGCTCAATATGCTACGTTGATAACATGTTGAAGTAGCTTGCAAGACAGCCTTGATGCTACTCCCTGTCTCCTTGAGTCCCCCCTAACCCCAAGTCCCCCACATGTCCCCCAAAAAGATAAAGTCCAAATGGTTGTTCATGTGCGTGAAGAGACCTACTGCCTGTCTCCTTGTCCCCAAGTCCCCCCCTAACCCGAAGTCCCCCCCATGTCCCCTAAAAAGATAAAGCCTGAATTGTTGTTTATGTACTTGTTGATACCTACGCCCTGTCTCCTTGACCCCAAGTCCCCCCTAACCCCAAGTCCCCCCCATGTCACCTAAACAGATAAACCCCAAAAGGTTGTTTATGTACTTGTTGATACCTACACCCTGTCTCCTTGTCCCCAAATCCCCCCTAACCCCAATTCCCCCCCATGTCCCCCAAAAGGATAAGCCCTAAATTGTTGGTACCTACACCTTGTCTCCTGGTCCCCAAGTCCCCCCCTAACCCCAAGTACCCCCTATATCCCGTAAAAAGATAAACCCATATAAACCCGAAATTATTTATGTACATGTTGATACCTTCACCCTGTGTCCTTGTCCCCAAATCCCCCCTAACCCCAAGTCCCCCCCATGGCCCCTAAAAAGATAACCCCTAAATTGTTGTTTATGTACACTTTGATTCCTACTCCCTCTCTCCTATCCCCAAATCCCCCCCATGTCCCCTAAAAAGATAAACCCTAAATGGTTGTTTATGTGCACTTTGATACCTACACCCCCAAGTCCCCCCCATGTCCCCTAAAAAGATAAAGCCTAAATTGTTGTTTATGTACATGTTGATACCTGCACCCTGTCTCCTATTCCCCAAGTCCCCCCCACGTCCCCCAAAAAGATAAACTCTAAATGGTTGTTCATGTGCGTGAAGAGACCTACTGCCCGTCTCCTTGTCCCCAAGTCCCTCCCTAACCCCAAGTCCCCCCCATGTCCCCTAAAAAGATAAACCCTAAATTGTTGTTTATGTACATGTTGATACCTACACCCTGTCTCCTGGTCCCCAAGTCCCCCCCTAACCCCAAGTACCCCCTATGTCCCCTAAAAAGATAAACCCTACAAGGTTGTTTATGTACTTGTTGTTATCTACATCCTGTTTCCTTGTCCCCAAGTCCCCCCCTAACCCCAACGCTCCCCTCTATGTCCCCTAAAAAGATAAACCCTAAAAGGTTGTTTTTGTACATGAAGATAGGTATACATGAATGTGGGCGCAAGTGAATCATTTTGACGGGCGCAAGTGAGGCTGGTTCCGGTGGAAGACGGGTGATATTTGGTGACCAGTGTCCTAGCCTTCCAAGCGCTTCACTCAACTCGCGGCCCTGAACCAAGGTCGTGGTGTTGTTGCAGCAGAAGGCAGATCCAAATCAAGTAGATCTAGCAGGGCATTCGGCTCTACTCTGCGCAGTGCAAAGTGGTTCCGTTGAGCTCACACAGGACGGGGGCTCAGCCACAAGTGATCTTGGGACCAGGGGTTCCAACTGAGTTCAAATTGTGGAGATGTCTGTGAGCTTGCCTTCACGGCCATTTGCAGACGGAGTTTTTTTTTTCTCCGTTTTTTTTGTTTTTTGTTTTTGTTTCCCAGCCTGGCTTTGTGGCTTTTGTGGCTTTTGTGCGTGTGTGGCTTTTGTGGCTTTACCAGGCCTATCTATCTATCTATCTATCTAATCTAACCTTATCTTACCTTATCTTATCTTGTCTTATCTAATATTATCTGATTTTATCTGATTTTATCTTATCTTATCTATCTAATCTATCTATCTAAAGTATCTATCTAAAGTATCTATCTAAAATATCTATCTAAAGCATCCATCTAAAGTATCTATCTAAAGTATCTATCTAAAGTATCTATCTAAAGTATCTATCTAAAGTATCTATCTAAAGTATCTATCTAAAGTATCTATCTAAAGTATCTATCTAAAGTATCTATCTAAAGTATCTATCTAAAGTATCTATCTAATCAATCAATCAATCAAATCAATCAATCAATCTAATTATCTACCTACCTATCCATATATCTACCTTTATATATATATATACACACACACACCTTGTATCCCTACATGTACCTTAATCCTTAAAATAGACCCTAAACCAACCCTAAATAACCCTAAGATAACTCTAAATAACCCTAAATAAACCCTAAACCAACCCTACATAACCTTAAATTAACCTTGAACCAACCTAGAGAAACCCTAAACCAACCCGACATAACCAACCCTAAATAAACCCTAAACCAACCCCAAACTAAATAACCGTAAACCAACCCTAAATAAACCCTAAACTAACCCTAAACTAACCCTAAATAGGCCCTAAACCAACCCTAAATAAACCCTAAACCAACCCTAAATAACGCTGAATAAACCCTAAACCAAACCTAAATGACCCTAAACCAACCATAAACCAACCCTAAATAAACCCAAAACCAACGCTAAATAAATCTAAGCCAACCCTAAATGACCCTAAACCAACCATAAACCAGCCCTAAATAAACCCTAAATAAACCCTAAACCAACCCTAAATAACCGTAAATAAACCCTAAACCAACCCTAAATAAACCCAAAATAAACCCTAAACCAACCCTAAATAACCCTGAATAAACCCTAAACCAACACTAAATAAACCTTAAACCAACCGTAAACCAACCCTAAATAAACCCTAAACCCTCCAACACTATGATAGCATCCAATGCCACTATTTAGAGCCAGCAGGGTTGTGCTTTAACCTATATTCTACATGTTCACCGGTGCATGTTATGAAAGGAAAAATCGATTGAAACCATGGAAAAATCAATTGTAACCATGGACAGCTCAATGAAAACTATGGAAAAATCGATGAACACTTTGGGTAAATCAATGAACACCATGGAAAAATTGAGTAAAACAATGGAAAAATCGATGAGCAGTGCAAATGGCAAATTTTGGCTCCAAAATTCAGCAAAGTACAGGTTTTTGTTCCAAAATGTAGCAAATAGCAAGGAAAAGTGCCCTAGACTGAAAAACAAACAAACAAAAAAAAAATCTGCACCCTTTGCAGACCCCTAATATCCATAATATCCCCTAACCAAAACTACCTGAGTCTCCTGAGTCACATCCTGCTGGAGTTGGCACGAAGGAGTTGCTGGCGCACGCTGCCAATCTCCACTGGTCGCACCCGGAGCAGGGCACCGCAGCGCACATGGCGGCTCGCAGTGGACAAGTTGAACTCTTGGAGGTGAGGGGATTTGCATGGCCTGCGAGCTGCTCGATCTATTGGAATGCCCTTGCAATTTTCACTATTTGGGTCGAGATTTCTGCAGCCTGACAGAGATGCAATGTTTCAGATCACTTCCAGAATTCACATTCATCAACCAATCATCAATCAATACCAATCTATGCCTGGATCCTTCCATAACACTTATGACTCATGACTGTCGTGGTCACCTCCGGCCTCAGCAGGTCTTGTTGGATGCAGGGGCTTCCTGCAGTGAGCAGGATGGCAACGGCCATGATGTGGCCATGTTGGCCCTAAGGGCTGCCGATGAGAGCTGCGTGACCTGCATCCGACAGCGAGGTGCAACCGTTTTTTTTGTTGTGAGGGCTGTCACCCACCTGGAGTTAGCCATTGCCAGCAGAAACGAATAGAAATGATGAGAAAAGTCCGAAAGTGTTGAAACGAGGATGTCACCAAATCTATACTGCATAGGATGATGTGATGTAGGTTCGTTGATACAGCGCTGTACTACCATTCGCATCCATTCGCGGCTTACCAGCGATGACAAAGATCGCTCAAGAAGCATGAGACGTGTATTCCATAGCTGCAATAGCTTAGCTCTCTATCAGCTCTATCCAGTGAGGTGTTTTGCCAAACCGTGATCTGGCTCTGTCGGAGCTCTTTGCTGCAGTCCGCAAGGCGTGGACTTGCAGCAGCTCGGAAGTCCGAACATCGGTAAGGGTCAACAAAATACTTGCATCAGTTCAAAGCATCAGGGAACGATGCGTGGCTTCAGTGAAGAATGGTATGTCTGTTGTTTCTGGTTTCACTATTGCTACTACTGAAATATTGCCTGTACATTTATGGTACCAGCGCCAGGGGAACAGCGAATATCTTGAGCGGCTGTTGGTCCATGGCTCAGATTCACCGTGTATTTGTGTTGCAGAGTGGGGCGAAGATGCTGGCACGGCATGCTTGTATGGAGATGTTCCCAACTGTCTCATTTGATATCAGCCATGTGTGTGTGTGTGCGCGTATCCCACCCATCTGGTCGGACACACATTTGGAATGATGCATGTTAGTATGCATGTAAATAATGGTAAATATGCACTTAGACAGTATTGAACCACTGGGTTGAGGCTGCATATATACTCAAACACTCAAACGCATTCTATGTGACCAAAGTAATCTGGTAGAATTGAGGAGTGAAATACAACAGTCACAGTTGACAATTTCTTGATGCTTTTTGATTGCAGGCTAGTCGGCCTTGTGATGCACATGACTCATGCTATCTCATGCGAAGGAACTTTTGCTGTAGACCTTTTGCTGGATTCTGAAATCATCCCAAGATATAGATTTGGTTCTAGGAGAACCACATAATTTTCACTCTGGAAGTTAGTCAGTTGCAACTTCTACATGATATAGTATGCGATAGTTCAAGTTCTCACTTCGCTTGTGACTTAGGAGATCTTGGTGAAGATCTACCCTGGTATTGTGATTTGTACGGAAGATGCTGGGATGCATCTTTTGGATTCTTTTGGCTTCACGGGACCGGTTGGCTGTCCTGGGGATCAGGTGAAGTTGAGGGACTCAACACCACGACTGCTGATAGGCGGACAAAACTGTAGATACAGCCAGTTTTGAAGCCCGTAGTGAATTTCTGGGAAATTTTGGGTGAGCCGATTGAATCCCATTGAATCCCATTGAATCCCATTGACATCAAGAAAACCTCTGACTGAGGACAGTCTTCAGGGCGAAGCGAGGTCAGAGTGCCCCAGCTTGCTGGTGGAAGCAGTCCGGCAGGGTGGCGTAAATATGGTGAAGGCGTTGCTCAAAGCAGGACATGGCCAAGATATGCCAAGATGGAGTTGTTGGCATGAGATAGTTGGCATGACTGAGATCCCATCAATGCCATTGGAATGCAAAGAATGCATAAGAATGCATCTTTGCATATCTTTGCCACAAGTTGGATCCAAAGGATGAAACCAAACAGTGCAAAGACAGAGCTATCAGGCCACACGCCCGACATCGGCCAACGTAGGAGCACGACTATATCCTCATCAAGTAACTGTTGAGCCTTTGACTGGGATGGAGCAATGCGAAAGTGCTTGGAGTATTGCACGCCACTCGGCCTTTCTGGCTCACATCGGACTTTGGGGAATCAGCTCACTGCAGCCATTTCCACAGCCAGCCCAGTTGCCATCTTGACTTTCTGTAGTAGAAGTGGTGTAAGCGCGACCATCATGTGGAATATGCGCATCCTGAACCACACAACACACACACACATGCCAACAGACAAACACGAGCAAAGAGTTTTGTAAATAAACAGGCATTGGAAAGTGCGGCTGTAGCATGATCATCCATGCAAAGAGACTGCTAGCATGTCTTTTAATGGAATTCCCGCTTGCTACCAGAGAAGTAATAATGCGCTGGACAGACCTCCACAACTCAGTGTAGTTTCCAAGATTTTGGCTAAACGTTGGAACACTTCGACCCTGCTGAAATTGTCAACCTGAGCAAGCTGACTTGGACATCTTGAGCTCTGGCAAACCCAGGTGATTTGAGCTCTGAAGTGATCGCGGAGCTTCTGCGAAATCAGTTGCCGGAAGAACTCTTGTTCCTTTCCAAGACAGGATCGTCCGCGGATGCTGGGACGGCATTTGGCTGGTTGCCATGAAATCCAAATTTCCTTCACGTTGAAACGATACCACATGACCAACTCTGCCAACAAACTGCCACGTGACCACGTGAGGAATTGCAAAACCTGCGGGAAGAAGAAAGGCTTGGGCTGGTGGCAGAGCCAAAAGACTTTCGTCTGGTGGACGAGTCGGGTTTCGGGGCCTTGGACCATGCCTTGATGGCTCAAAACCTGGAATTGGAAGTCTGGTTCTGTTTCCATGGGGCTCGATTCCAGACACAGCTGGAAGTCTTGGTGGAACCGGTGAAGAACGCAGATTACGTGGCCTTGGAGCGGCGCTTGAGGGCTGGAGCAGATGTCACTGTGGCTTGGCAGATGGGCTGGAAGGAGGCGAAGGAAGGTGAACAGTCGAATAACAGTCGAATTGGGTTGACTCTTCGACATTGGAAGTGATAACTTGTTTATTTTGTTTCTACAGGAACCTCAACCATTTCAGATTCGGTCTCAGATGGCACATTCGCACAGCACTCTGGCATGAAAACAGTACAGATCTGCTGTGCCTCTGGACTCCAAAGCTTGAAAGTTGCCATGTGGAAATAAAGCAAGTTGGGCAAGCCATTTGATTCTTGACCCAGTGCAGAAAGTCCTGCAGCCCTAAGATACGACAAAGCTCTGCGGAATGCTTTAGACTTAGAGCATCATCAATTCTTTCATGCTGTTGAGCTTGCGGCAAGCTCGCGTTGAACAAGAATTGAAGAGGATAATGTCGGATACGCCAAAGACCTGGGGAAAAGCTCAATTTCACGGAAAGGGCGGTGGGTCACTTGTGCACTGTGAGGTGACAGACTTGAGTGGGCGAGTCGCTCTGGATTGGTGTTCCTAGGTGTGTCATGGGCATTAGTTTTGTTTTCATTTGTTTTCTTGTTCCCACAGCCCAATTGTTGAACATTTGCATTAATTAAATCATAGATTTGAAAGATTTTCGATTCCAAGTATAATGGGCGGTGACACCAGTAGGTATTTTTTCCTTGGGGGCTGGTGAAGATTCAGGTATCTTCACGGGCTTTTTCGAGTCGTTGCTGTGGGACTGTGCAGGGAACTTAGCCGCAATGAACAGACCTGGAGATAGCTGTGTCAGCACCGGCGACAAGAATTGCTCAGCTGCTGAGCGCATTCTCTGCGAATCATTTCAATTCATTTTATGTGACGTGACGTCGTGGTTCTCAGGTGGAGAACTCCATGAATGACGAGGATGAGGATGGCGAAGGTGGTGCGACGCCCAGCGTCAGCAGCAAAGCGGCAACGGCCAAAACGGCCAGAAGTTCTAGGTGCCATTGCCGGTGCCGTTGCAGGGAGATGGCGTCATTTGCAGCATGAGATCTCCCGGCAGTTGGAAAATGGCTGTTGCCACCCTGACATATGGCTGGAGTGTCCTCGTGTGACAAACACTTTTGTAGCATAGTGATGGGTAGGAACAGACAGATATTCCACTTCTGCATTGTGCCACACATGGCCTGCAGTGCCTTTGAAACTAAACTATGCTAAACTGACAAAGGTCTTCAAAAATCGTGCTGGTTTCTGAAAAAACATGGCTGGTGGTCATAGAACGTTCTTTACAGTTTGCATTGTGGGTCGGAGACATGAGCCAAACAAACCCTCAGCAGGTCAGGCGGGCGACTGAGCGTTCGCTCGAAGAAGACAGCCATGACCACCAGCAATGGATGCCTGGTGAAACTTAGCCCGATCCCATCCGATCCCGATCCCAGAGAGAAGGGTCTGCTTCTCCTCAGTCAGCGGTGATTCGTGTGATTTTTTGCCGCCTTTTGCCGCCCTGCTTCAAAAACTCTTCAAAAGGAAGTGCGATGACTGGTCGGCGGTGGCCGCTGGTGCCCTTCGATCCGCGAGGGAACTTTGCTCCGATTGAGGACCCGTCGTCCAGTCGTGAAATAAAACACACATTGTGACAAGTAGATTTAGATAGATTTAGATGTTTCGTGGCACACTGCAGCACCTAGCCTTGAGCAACATGGCAATATGTGTTCATCTTTATAATCAAGTGCTGCATAGGCCAGAAAAGTGTCGCCAAGAATCAAAGAATCTGCTTGCCTGTGAAAGTGAACACGTCTCAGTAGAGTGAACATAAGCCCATTGAAGTACCTTTTTGATCCTTTTTGAAAAACGAAACAGCAGGGTCTGGGTTTGAGCAAACATAGTGTGCGAAGTCAAGTTCCTCTCAGTCGCCAAACCTGGAGAGGAACTGTTGATTTCTCATGGCGCCAAGTTCCTGCTGACCAGGTCGCTCATCTCAGCTGTGAATTTCCTGTTTCGGCAACACTAGGGCTCAGACAGCAGGGGGATGATGGTTTCCAATGGTTTCCAACATCTTTGCCAGATACCTGTAGTCAGAATTTCATAGAATTCTCACATTGAGGACAGGAAGGAGGCTTAGGTTTTGATCATGCAGAAGTCTGTGCGTCAGGTCTGCTGCAGCTTGTCTCTATGAGCCTTTGCTCCTTCATGACTTTAAGACCATTGAAAGACGAGCTTTTGCCGGTGCAGACTGCTCCTTGGCGCACAGGGTATCTCTTCTCTTCTGCGAAACTTCCTCAGTTTGCAAACCTCACATCCTTTTTTCAATGAATATTGACTATTGGCCATTTGACCTGTGTCATTTCTCTTCCGAATCTTTCTGGGTCGGCAGTGATGCTGTCTCGAAAGGGAACTCAAATAGTAGTATTTCATAGTATTTCCATGTACTTCCTGTTGTTTTTTTTTCTAGTGTGATACCGTAGACCATCTAACCTACCCAATGTTCAATCCCAGTAGAGCAAGATGATGCTCTCTTTGGTCGCCTAGGTTCGGTGGATGGTGATCAAGGGGTGGGAATGGTACACGTGGCACTGGATGGCGGTGGAGTGCAAGCTGCATGTGCCCTGGTGCTCAATGGACACTCGGCGGGTTTACAGCAAGTGCAGCAAAGGGAAACAAAAAAGCAAGCAGTACTGTAGCAGGCAACAGTGATTGGGGGTTGCTATGGGGTGCTGGCTCTTGCGTCGCTATGACTTGCAACTTGCCACTACAGAAGAGAGAACTGAGAGGGTGCAGATTGCTTCCACGAGTTTAGTATATTCCTTCCGTTTTTAATCTTCACTTGGTCATTTTGTCATTTTGCAGCTTTAGTAGCTTTAGTATTGTCAGTTTGTCACGGTATGATACCGAACCAAGAGTGAAACAGTGAATTCTTGGATCTTCTCAAGGGGCTAGGGCCCACCGGGCCGCTAAGGAGCTGACCCGGATGTGCTGGACGCTCATGGCCGAAGTGTGCTGTGGCGTGCAGTGGAGGGTGATTTGCAAAGGCTTGTTGATGCGTGCTTGCTGCAGAACATAGATCTCTCACAAGGACTGTAGGACGGTAAGATTTTAACGTATCATAGTATCAAGGCCTCAGGATTGATTTGACTTCTTTGCACGTTACCACATGGCGTTTGAATAGGCATTTAGGATTTCGAACAGGACGTCGTGAAAGACATTGGCAGAAACCTGCAAAACATCATCGGCTTACAACTTGATCTGGATGTCACTGGTCCTCTGCTCCATTCCAGGACTTGGTAAAGAGTCAATGAGTTCCGTTGCGCATTTGGCCCTGGAGAGCAATCGACCAGAATTGTCTATTCAATTCTTGACCAGAACGCATCCGCCCGGCACAGACGTGGATGAAGTGAAGCCACCCTGTGTGAAGCTTGGAATCAGTGAAAAGCATGGTTTTGCCTATTTTTGTGTCCTTATTGTGTGCAACGACATGTTGTGTCGCAAAATTTCCTGGCATTTCTTTACTGGGCCCTCTGCCAAGCGAAGTCAGAAGCATCCAAGGAATCCAGAAGCTTTGGATTCTCATGGTCGCACTGTCCTCATGAGAGCATTGGAACTCAAGCATACATCTGTGGCAAAGGTCCCTCAGTTTAAGCAGCCCAATAAACCACCAGGAATAGCCCTGTAGTGCCAGTGGAATGTCTTCAACGTCCATCATGGCAATGGTCCGTTTTATTATGTGACGGTAGATGGCAAGGTCCTTAGGTCGTCGGTGCTCTTTCCGTGCTCCAAACAATCAAATATCCTAAGTTTGAACCCTGGTCTTCAGCAAGATCTGACCCAATAAATACCCAACATGACTCCAGTCATCAAGGACGCATGGTCAGTGTAGCTTGGAGGTATGTCTCGAGCTGAAGTGCAGCATCTCTGTCTTGGACAACTTGTATGAGCAGAGCGCCTTGCACATCGCCGCGGAGGCAGATCCACAGATGATTCCTGTGCTCCTTGAGGCGCAGATGGACCGGATATTCTGCATGGGGATGAAGTCATGGAACAAACGCGTTTTTTAAACATATATAAACATATGAGATCTGTTTTTGCTGTGGTTGCTGCAGAGATCCTTGTTTGGATGTTAGATGCAGCTGGGCTATGCTGATTGGAAGGTAAGATCCAATGCGTGTAGGCAAGCGGCAAGGGCAATCTGGAAGATTGTGGGCTGCTGGGGCAATCATTTACGTAGTACTGCATCTATGATACCGACAACTGCTCGGGTTGCCCAGGTGCAAGCAGACATAAATCTTGTGGACAAGCGTGGTCAGTCGCCCTTGTGGCTTGGTTCACATATGAGCCGGGATCTAAATTATCGTAAAGTAATTATATGTGGAGCGTTCACTGCAGATGTGTTTTCTTGGTTTTGGCTTGGATAACGATAGGGGACGTCCCAACTTAGGGAAGACACACCTAAACAACAATATAAAGCCTGCCTCATATACGACCAGCTCCATATACGGTAGCATTACCAAAGGCGAATCCTGCACCTTTGCGGGCCTTTGCGATCTTCCAACACAATATGGCAATCTAAGCAATCTATGGATTAAAATTACCCACAGGACGAGGGTATGGCCCGGAGGGCCATACCCGAGAGCGGAGCAAGCAACCCATTGGTTCCATCATTCCAGTGCTAGGGGATTTCCTTGTTATAACATGTCCTTGTCATAATCTCCCGGCCCCATGGAACATATACGCATACCTCCTATTAGGGGTTTCATATAGGGTATAAAATAAGTTATAAAATCCCCCGGCCCCATGGAACAATACGCATACTTCTATTAGGTGTTTCATTTAGGGTTTACATAAGTTATAAAATCCGGACTCGCCAAAAAAGTCGAAAAGATTGAAAAAGTGGAAATGGCCGAAACGCCTGAAGTCCGCAGAGGGTTCACTTTTCTGACTGATTTTTCCAAAAATTCGTCTTAGACCACGCTAACTCACAGATGTACCAGAGTCATAAAACACTGCACCTGCGCAGAGAAATGAGCCTCCCACTGACGTTCATACGACCATTCCGGGACAACCCTCAGTCCTGCCCGTAAAATTACACCAAACAGGTTGAAAGCTGGGTAAGTAAACCCCAACACCATCTTTTCTGTTCACTCTTAGGATATTCACAGGGTAGGGTGAAGTGATCCACGGCCAAATGATATGCTGCGCCAGGTTGACAGCAGCTGCCTGTGGACAGCTGGAATCAGTGACTTTGCTACACCAAGGCTGGAGCAATGGACAAGTCACTCGACGGGTTACTCGGACATCTAACATCCACCTGACATCCAATGGCAGGTGGAGTGCAGCTGGGCCCTGCTGGCAGCTTCGCCACTATGATGGCCATAGAGGTGCTGGCCTGTATTTTACTCATTTAACTCATTTTTGTTCTTTGGGTTGCTGCCACTATTCCCTGATGAAGCATCAACCATTTACAAGCTTTACTTTTTCAAACCCGTCCCACAAAGTCACCACCTTTGACAGTTTAGTTTATGCTTAATAGGCTTAATGCAACAAAAGTCCAAAAGGTCTGTGTTGCAGGGTCCTGAATTTTCCTTTCAGTTGACTTTTTCATTTTTTTTCACATGAAATCTGTGCAGGCTGGGCATTTTGATGTTGCTGCTGAGATCATCACCATGGCGGGGCCTTTCCGACCCACTGAGCTGCACCGGCTCCGAGCGAAGCACAGCAAGAAGGGCACGGGGCCTGGCACGACGCTGGCACCTGCGGCGCCTGGGAAGATGTGCATGAAGGCAGCAGAGTTGCGAGCAGGAGCAGTGATGGAAGCGTACCTGCTGCAAGTCGCCTGGAAGAGATATGAACTTGAAGAATTAATAAGAATTATGAAGATGACGAAATGATACAAGAAGACATTGCAGCATTGACATATTTTGAAATATCTTGAAATACTCTTGAAATGAGCTCATCAGGCAAATGGGCGAAATGACAAAACAAGTCGAAACAGGTCCAAACACGTCGAAACATTTATAGATTTTATATGATTTTATAGTATCTCGTTTCCTCATGATCTCTGAACAGAACTGCAGCTTTGACCTGGGGAGTCCTTCAAACCATTAGATCCAGGTTTTCCCAACTGTTGATCAAGCATGTGTTGAGCCGTGGTGGCCACGATGAGGCAAAGCAAGGAGGATTTATGCGGATTACCATGGATTAGCATGGATTACCGTGGATTCTCATTTCTTCAAACTGTCTACCTCCGGGTCTCCCGCGGTCTCTCACTGTTTCTTTTTCGTCTCCAAGGCATTGCGAAAGCTGGGCTACGACGCCTCTGACTTCGTGCAACGTGCGCCTGGGAAGGGATTCAATGGGATATTCGTCGATAGGCCCTGAAATGGATGTGATCAACTCAAAGAGACCCTGTAGAAGTTGACCATATCATGATTATCATGCGAATCATGCAATATCGTTTGGCTTTAAGAACCCCAGTGCAGCTTCACAATGCCCATCCCCCTCAACTAATTCAGATCATGAATTCATGCTAATTGCACCTGGATATCACCTCTACCACTACTGTGCTGCATTCTGACGGGCAATCGGTGCCTTGCAGGCAGTGCCCTGGTACAAATGTTGTTCACCAAGACTGCTTACTTGCCTCTACGGCTAGATCTATATAGATCACAATCACGGTCCTTAAGTAGTTTTTGGTAGTTCTTTGGCATGGAATTTTGTGGCATAGCAACTAGGAACTTTACTAACTTTAGGACCTGTCGATACCTATAGCAGCTATCAACTGAAAGAAACTCTTCAGATGATGAGGGACTCTACGGCGAATCTGCCAGGTTTCGTGCAGTGGATCCTCTCTGGGCCGAGTCAAGAAATGAAGAGTCGCAGCAGCCTGCTGGAGGACATTCCCACACGCACCGTCCTCGGCCATGGTGGAACCCCAGCAATTCACTAGGGACTGCAACTAGGTCCACTTGGGTCACTTGAGTCACTAGAGTCACAGACTTTGGATCCAAAAGAACCCAAAAACAAATCCCTGGTCATCGAGCTGGCGGGGTTCCTGAGCTACAGCCATCTGCTTTCAAGAGCCTTGAACCGGCTTGATGTCTAGATTTCAAGTGCCAAGGTCTGTCGGATCTTGAACTGGACAAGGCGGTGGATTAAGCCGATGAGGTTGCAGCAGTTGGCAATAAGAATGCGGATCTTAGAATTTTGCAAATTCTTTGTGTGCAAAAATCCAAACCGGTACATTGCAGTTTTTATACAGCAAGACAGAAGAGGGATTGAAAGAACAACTTAGATTCAATGGAGTACGATCATGTCACACGCCATCGTCTGTTGCAGCAGATGACTGCAGTATTCTGCTTTGGCCAAGTGGTGCCCTTTTCAACCCCAGAAACTGGTGCCCAAGCGTGTCAGGTCCTACAAATGCTGGAGGCCCGATCAGTGCCAGCACCCGTGGTACAGTTGCTCGCCAGCGCCAGTAGATTTGATCCACAGCCGGTGCGTGAGCAAGCTGCAGATCCAGAGTCCAGACCTCCTGAAGTACCGGCCTTAGAGGATTCAAGACTTGACCCCCCTCCCCCAACTACTCAAACATCTGAACCTGAGCAAGCTGAAGCATCCGTGGCATCCAGCAAAACAGAGGAGGATCAAACACATCACAGGTCTCAGGCGGCCGCTGAAATGAACGATCCAGCAGATCAGCAGGCTGAAGCACCCATGGTTCCCAGCAGAACAGACCCAACACATCAAAGGTCTCAGGCTGCTGCTGAAATGAAGGATCCATCAGATCAGCAGGCTGAAGCACCCATGGTTCCCAGCAGAACAGAGGATCCAAAGCATCAAAGGTCTCAGGCTGCTGCTGAAAGGAACGATCCAGCAGATCAGCAGGCTGAAGCACCCATGGTTCCCAGCAGAACAGATCCAACACATCAAAGGTCTCAGGCTGCTGTTGAAATGAACGATCCATCAGATCAGCAGGCTGAAGCATCCATGGTTTCCAGGAGAACAGAGGATCCAAAGCATCAAAGGTCTCAGGCTGCGGGTGAAAAGTTTGATCCAGCAGATCAGCAGGCTGAAGCACCCATGGTTCCCAGCAGAACAGACCCAACACATCAAAGGTCTCAGGCTGCTGCTGAAATGAACGATCCATCAGATCAGCAGGCTGAAGCACCCATGGTTCCCAGCAGAACAGAGGATCCAAAGCATCAAAGGTCTCAGGCTGTTGCTGAAAGGAACGATCCAGCAGATCAGCAGGCTGAAGCACCAGTGGCATCGAGAAGAACAGAAGATCCAAAGCATCAAAGGTCGGAGGCTGCTGCTGACATGAGCGATCCAGCAGATCAGCAGGCTGAAGCACCCGTGGCATCCAGAAGAACAGAAGATCCAAAGCATTACAGGTCTCAGGCGGCCGCTGAAATGAACGATCCAGCAGATCAGCAGGCTGAAGCACCCATGGTTCCCAGCAGAACAGACCCAACACATCAAAGGTCTCAGGCTGCTGCTGAAATGAACGATCCATCAGATCAGCAGGCTGAAGCACCCATGGTTCCCAGCAGAACAGAGGATCCAAAGCATCAAAGGTCTCAGGCTGCTGCTGAAAGGAACGATCCAGCAGATCAGCAGGCTGAAGCACCCATGGTTCCCAGCAGAACAGACCCAACACATCAAAGGTCTCAGGCTGCTGCTGAAATGAAGGATCCATCAGATCAGCAGGCTGAAGCACCCATGGTTCCCAGCAGAACAGAGGATCCAAAGCATCAAAGGTCTCAGGCTGCTGCTAAAAGGAACGATCCAGCAGATCAGCAGGCTGAAGCACCCATGGTTCCAAGCAGAACAGACCCAACACATCAAAGGTCTCAGGCTGCTGCTGAAATGAACGATCCATCAGATCAGCAGGCTGAAGCACCCATGGTTCCCAGCAGAACAGAGGATCCAAAGCATCAAAGGTCTCAGGCTGCTGCTGAAAGGAACGATCCAGCAGATCAGCAGGCTGAAGCACCCATGGTTCCCAGCAGAACAGATCCAACACATCAAAGGTCTCAGGCTGCTGTTGAAATGAACGATCCATCAGATCAGCAGGCTGAAGCACCCATGGTTCCCAGCAGAACAGAGGATCCAAAGCATCAAAGGTCTCAGGCTGCTGCTGAAAGGAACGATCCAGCAGATCAGCAGGCTGAAGCACCAGTGGCATCCAGCAGAACAGATCCAACACATCATTGTCAAAAGTCCGAAGCACTTGCTGAGAAGGCCAAGCGCCTGCGGCAAGAAGTCATGGACATGGAGTTCAATGGTAATGAGCACCTCACCCATGAGAACCTTTCAGCCATACCCGAAAACGCTCCAGAGCTGTTAGATCAACCGTCGCATGAGGCAGTTGAGATGGCAGAAAGGAATGAAGAGCCTCAAGTTGTTGCCACAGAGACTGCTCGAGATTCCATGAATGAAGAAACACAGGACTGGTGGTGGTGGCAAGGGTATCATACTAGGCGTAGGCACTTTGTCGGCAATGTACAATCTTTTGATTGCAATGTTTCTTTCGAAACGTGATGTTTTGGTCTTTAGGCCCATCCTGGTTGGCTCTAGACAGATCAAGTTCAGAACAAGCTGTTTTCGTCAGATTCCTTCAGCCATCAAAGGCTAATCTAGATATTTTATGATATTTTGATTTTCCAGGCAAACCCGCTCGGGAAAGTGATGCTGGCAGCATACCAATTCTTGCCGGGCCATTTTTGAGTTTTAATAGTGCCGCGATCGCCAACGACGAGTCACAGGAGTATGAAGAAGACGACTTTGAGAATGAAACTGAGGCTTCCGAATTGAGCCCCCGCAGCCCCAGAACATTTGGCTGAGATATGCTGAGATGCTCCAAGGTGAGCAGTGACAAGGGATGAGATGAGATGGGGGTATTGAAACTTAACGCTGGTTCAGGAATAAAAATCAAGCTTTGGGCGTGCACTTGAAAAGCAGCAAACCACCTACCTTTGATGCTCTTGACAAATTGAGTGTAGTGCAAGTAAGCGAGAAGCTGTCGAGCCAGTAGACTTATATAATGTGATGAGCTCAAGCCTCCCCACCAAGAAGACAACTTGTCACATCCTTGAATACCGAGGATGTTGATGGTGGTGTTTCTTGAATCCTTTTTTGGCATATTCAATGTTCTTCAGTGAAGGAAAGCGACACCTTGCCAAGCCCACAGAAACACCATGTCATTTTAGCTGGGACGCGAGAATTCTGTGGCTCCCATGTGCAAAGCTGGACATCAGAACCAGACACAAAGAATGCTGGTCTCTGCTGAAACTGAGCAGAGGAAACCCAGAGCCTGCAGACTGCAGGGACCGGGACTGCCGACTACCCAAGCTATCGGCCAAAAGGAAGAACAACACGTGCTAAGAGCAAGATGAGGCTTCACGTGTTCAGATGCGAAGAGCGGCTCAGGTTTGCATCGAGGTATTGAGTCCTCCATTTGTTCCCACCTCATGCACGGAAAGTGACGCAGTTTGCATTGCAAGGAGCTTCATTGGGATTGACCGAGTGTTCTTTGGTTCGTGGCCACAAGTGTTGTTTGAACCTTTTTGATGCAAGTTGTCCTGAACTAAAAGGAAACCGTCGCAACAATAGTTCCTTTTGTGTAACCAAAGTTGTCCTTTTCCTTCAGGGAATTGTTTGGACAAGACAGTCTTGTACTGTTCGAGACTTGCATACTACTCCATCCGGTCAAGCACATCGGAAAAAAACGGAATATATTCATGGAAGGTCCCGATACAGAACGTGCAAGATCTGGGCGTACATACAACAAAGTCCCCAACTATCGCACACATTTACCTAGCTGGACCAAGCTTCTGCATTGGGCCTTGTGTTCTCTGCTATGGATCCAATCGAGCTTCGCACCGCCGACGGGCTTCAACTCGGATCCGTCAAACTGTGGAGATTCTTGACATGCAGCAATGCATGCTTGGCGAGAGCAAAGTCTCTATACACAAAGATGTGAAGAAGGGAGTATGCCTTCGAGCCTCTGTCAATGTGAAAGCTGGAGATGTTTTGTTGCGCGAAGTACCGCTTCTGAGCACGTCACCTGCCATTTCCAAAGTCATTTTTCAATTTTTTCAACATTTTTTGGTTGTTTTGTGCGCTCTTTAGATTTGACGGATTTTGAACGCATAATTATTGTATACATTCCAACAATTGCTCAACTGTGTACGATTTGGGACCTCTTTTCAGAGGCCAACAGCAAGCGAGAAGTTGAAGAAGAGCATAGATGAATTCTGCAGGATCATTGAAGGAGAAGATCGCCTGTTGATTTTGCTGTCACGTCGATATATTCCGCCCTTGTGCGCCTTTGCAGGCCAAGAATGGTTTTACCAGGGAGGGGCATTGTAACAGTAGTGAAGTATCATTAATGTTTCACATTTCGCTTCATTCACAAAATTGATGCAAACAATCAGTGTTTGACTTCTAGCTAACCGATTTTCTTGGCACTCTTGGTCCTAGGGCTCCAATTCCAGATGCTTGATAATTCCTGTTGCTTTGACCATTTGAACGTGTCGATAGCTCTCATGTCCTTGGTTGCCTTTTGAATGCACGTATGGAATATTCATGATATTCATGGCTATGCCATAATGCTACGCCCTTTGCCGTTCTGGTCCCAACTGTTTCAGATGTTTTAGATGCAGACCTGCTGCCAGATGCTCCAGCACAGCTTCGGGAAGCAGTTCTCAGCTTACAATCAGACTTTGCCGTTTCTGACAGCAAGATCGCGAAAGCGGCACGGCGCTTAGCCATCATGTTTCACCGCTCAGGACGTGGGCGGGGACTGGGTTCTGCAATGGAATCTGTCAACCCCAGCTTCGGTTTTCACTTCCCACTGTGAAGTTTCTGCTTTCAAAATTGAAGCAGTGAACTGAGTTGAAGTCCCTGCTTCATTTGCCCGTGTTTCTTGGCTGTTTCGTGAAGAGTGTCAGGACTCATGACTCACACTGTAGGGTTTAGGGTAAATTTGGCAGCTACAAGCCGAACGACAGTCAATATCCCGGCTTCGTTGCTGCCAGGATTGTTCTCCACCTCTGGCGGATTGGTGAAGGTTAGCGTTTCCAAAGAACACATTTCTTTAGTTCTGAATTTGCTGATCATCAACTCCGCGGACACGTTGCCAGGTGGGACCCACAAACCTGGACACAGGGTGCGAGAGCCTCTAGACTAGTCTAGACTCTAGATGTATGATGATGTATGATGATGGATGAATGGTAATGTAAATAAGGTAAAGCAAAACACCTTGCAGCCCGATGCAAATCTAGTCCGATTGTTCTTTGTTGAGTTCATGATGTTCGGAATTTTGCCCCTCCGCAGATGGATCTGAAGCTGTGTTCTACATGGGAGCCATGCTTGAACATTCCTGCTCGCCCAACGCTAGATTTTGCATTCGCTCCTGGGAGCAGGCATCCTTGCTGCAGTTAAGTTTAAACAACCCAATGAAAATGGGTATGGAATTCCCGTACAAAAGGGTGCAGAGATGCGAAGAGTGAATTTTGATGTTTCTTCAGAGTGGTTGGCCTTTCACAGGATGCTGCTCCAGCGAAGCAGCTTTGGATTGGTGAATGGCAAGCGACCAAAAATATTGCGAGCGGTGAGCCTGTGACGACGAGCTGCTTGGCATCTCAGCATCTTCCTTTTTCAAGGCAGAGCAAGAGATTTCTCTGGGATGTGCTGAACTTTGATGGTGTTCCAGTTCGAGCTTTCCATCCAGATGGGCCCTGCCTTCTTTGACTCTAAACGATGAACCAAGGCTATCTCGAGCCAGAGTTGCTTGAAAGAACCTCGGTCCAGCCGACGTTTTGCAGGCATCCCAACAGTGTACAGTGACATTTCATTCAACAAAAGTTGAATTCATGGCTGTCAGTTTTGTTGAAACCACATCATTACCAAAGCAGCATTCCAACCAACGCGGAGTTTGATTTCCAAGCATGCAAAAACAAAAATATGCAAAAGCATGCAAGAACTATATATAATATATTATAATATGCAACAGGAGGACGCAGTATCAGTACCCATGTAGGGTTTTCTCCAAGTAGGCTTTTTGATTGAGAGTCTAATTTGCTCCAGTTTCATGTCCACGCGTCGTATAGTGTATATTACATTAAGCGTATACTAAATATATATAATATGATAAATAGAGATATGTATATATATATATATCAATATGATATAACATAGCATAAAATAATATAATATATAATGTAAAATAACATAATGTGATATAATATAATATAATATAATGTAATTTAATATAATATGATATAATATAATATAATAATGACATATAGTAAAATATAATAATAATATAATAATATATAATATATAGTATAATATAATCTAATATAATAAAATATAATACAATATGATATAATATAATATAATATAAGGTAATATAATATAGTACAATACAATGTAATATAATTTTAATATAATACAATATAATATCATATAATACAATAATAATATAATAAAGTAATAATATGATAACATATAATATAATATAATATAATATCATATCATATCATATAATAATATTATTAATATATATATATATTATAAATAAATAAACAATATATATATATAATATAATATATATCTATAATACAATTATAATTATAAAACAGTATAATTATAATATAATAATACAATGTAATACAATATAATACAATGTAGTATAATATAATATAATATAATATGATTTAATTTAATATAATATAATATAATAATAATAATACTATTCATAAATATAATATATAATATAATATATAATATAATATAATATAATATAATAACAATGTAATAAAATGATAATATAATATAATATAATTTAATATAATATAATATAATATAATATAATAATAATACTATTAATAAATATAATATATAATATATAATATATAATATAATATAATATAAAATGAAATACTATAATATAATATAATATAATATAATATAATATTAAATAATATATAATATAATATAATATAGTATAGTATAGTATGATATAATATAATATAACATATTATAATATAATATAATATGTTATAATATAATATAATATGATATAATATGATATAATATAAAATAATATAATATAAAATAATATAATAGAATATAATATAATATAATAATAGTATTGTTATTGTATATATGTATATATATATATAAATAATATATATATATATGTATACATATTCTATATGGTTTAACGCCCCCGTGATTAAAGAGGAAAAGGGTCAATGCTTTTTATGCCGTAGCTTTGGCTTTAGCGTGGGGGGACTGTGTTCTTACAAATTTTTGAGAGGTTAGCAATTTCTTTAATGTGACAACCTCGGTCTTGCAGAGCAGTATAAAAAAGTGCGGCCCTTTGTATATATATATATAGATATTGTATTCTATAAAAAAAATATAATATATATGTATACATTATCTATTGTATGTATACGATGTCATTCTCCTCAAGTGATGTTTCACTGATGGTCGTTGGCCAAGGACCTGCGCGTGAGCGTGGCCACGTCTTGTTAGCCAGGATGGGGTTCAACTGTGCCTGCGATTCTTGCTCTCAAGAACTGAGGTGCGGTAGGGAGGTGGCCAAGCTGACACTTAGTGTAGACAACTCGATCAGTATTTTTTTCTGACCCAAACGGCCAAAGGTCCCTAAGGTTACAAAATGCTGCTATGCTTGCCCCCTCTTAGAGATTTGATGCTGCTTATCCTGCTTTGTTGGATTCTTTTCCTATGGACGTTCAATTCAACAGATGGCGGCCATTTTGACTGGCGTTCTTCATTATTATTTGTTGCTTCAGTTGAGGGCAGATCACGCCGGGAACATGCTGCTTTTAATGCTACAATGATACAATCTGCTGCACATTCCTAGCACGTGACCAGTGTACGGATCACGTTAAAGGTCTGCTGCTGCTCTCCAGGCCGCCCAGCATTGACTTGAGCGAAATGGATTGAGGCCGTGCGCCAGAGAAATGATTAGCTGGAAGAAGGATGCTCGTGCGACTCGTGCGCGGATTTTCGTGATGTTTTCGAATCGCAAGAGAGAGAGAGAGAGAGAGAGAGACAGAGAGAGAGGGCAGGTGGTTCAACATGTTTTTTCTTCCCATCTTCTTGTGCTGTAATAGCTGCGACTCTGCTCAAGCTCTGGGGCCGCTTGCGGATTTCAAGATCTAAAAAGGAAGGTTACTTTAAAGCCTCCCTACCTGGCTCCAAGCATATTTACATGAGTTTTTGGCCGATATTGGCAGTTTGAAGAAGAACTGTTCTTGACGACCAGCATACAGCACACAGAAGTGTTTGCAACGCATGAATGTCCTTGATGGCTCATGAGACTCATCAGCCATACAAAAAGTCTGTTTCGTCATCAGTCCATGAACAGATCGCAGAGATTTCAGGCAGCATTCCAAAACCCCACACAAGGATGCTTTTTATCAGTGCCTGTGTAGCACGAAACCACAAGAAACCATCTCTCACAGGATAGCGCCTCTGCTACCATGGTGAACGGGTGAGATTCTTCATGCAGCCTCCCAGGCACAAGGAAGTCGACTCTAACCGATTTGACAAGCACATCTGTCACGCTGTTTTGTCAATCCGCCCTGTTTCCTTGGAACATTCATCTTGATGTTGCATAGGTTCTGGTACTGCTTAGCGAAAGGACATCCACTAGAGATCACTAGAGCACTCTTCTGATTCAAACGCTTCAATTCACCATAAAGGGCTGTACAAGTACAGCCATAAACATGATTCTAGGGGTAAACGACTCATGATGAACTGTACTTACCAATGGCACAGGTTTTATACAGCAAAGTACTTTGATCGAGATGATGTACTTGTGCACCGATTGAATGCAAAGACACATACATGCACACAGACACAAACGAACAAATTCAATGTACGTTGTGCTTGCAATTTGTTACACATATACGTAGTATACATACATGTATACATACATCGCATCGCATGGCATCACATGGCATCGCATGGCATCGCATGGCATCGCATGGCATCGCATGGCATCGTATTCCATTCCATTCCGTTCCATTCCGTTCCGTTCCTTTCCATTCCATCAATTACATTGCTTCATATTGGATTAGAGATTAGATTAGATTAGTTTGCATACATAATTGGACAAAGTCAAACACTTGCTAAAGACAGAATCCTTCAGGCCAGGATTCACATTGGACACCTCAAATTTGATCCAGATCTAGACCCTACCGATTCTTGAAACTGCGTACTGAAAGCACACAGCATGCAGGCGCCAGTCCTTGAAAGACAAACTCGACAGGCGCAGAGCTCCCAGTTCGAATAGAGATCACTTGGAACACCATTTTCTTTTTGAATACCGATGGGTGTTTCTGACTACATCTTGGTACATCCCTTCAAAAAGGGCTTAAATGTATTGAAATGCGATTGTGTGGATGATTTTAAATCCTTTCGACCTGACAGGCGCAAATCGCTGCAGGATGAGCTGAAGGCAGCCGCCCTCGATGAGGCGAGGCCAGCATGGCTGGAACTTGGCCTCAGATTCAATCAGATTCCAAAAAATCAGCGAAGCCTTGACCGTTTCGGATCCAGTGTGGTACTGTGTACTTCAGCTTCTCTTACTTCTTTACTTCTTTTGCTTGTTTTTTTTGCTTGTTTTTTTTTGTCTCTTGGCTACTGCATGCTACTGCCAGGGTCCTGAAGCGTCCAACCTGCCCGATCCTTCTCAGGAGGACAATCTGGACAGGATGGCAACTTCACTGGTTAGTTTTTCATAGTTTTCAAGGGTGACAGAAAGCTCAACGCCTCAGAGCCTTTGACACTTTGGGCCAGGATGACGAGGACGGCGAGCTCTGGGATGGCAATGACAATGAGGCCAGGAATTGTCAATCCGTACGTGCTCAGGTCTGCTCAAGCAACCAAATGTAGTATCGAGACGAAATCACCACAGTGTCACAGCGCGTTCGATTATACTTGTATTCATTATCAAGTATTATACATATGTACATGTTGGAGACTGCCACTACCCAAAGGTACTTTATCAACAGCCAGCAAGCCAGCATGGTAATCATTGCTGTGCCAGGAGGAAGAAAGCGAGGCTGGTACTGATGGTGTCAAGATGTGTCAAGTGGTAGTGGTACCATAGAAGCACATTCAGATGTTACTGTAGATGCCTGTGAAGTCAATATGGGAGCCTCTAGCTGGACCATTGAAGGGACCTGTTGAGGTGTTGTACAAGAATACAGGGAGAGGTATAGGCGTGACCATCTTACTCAGTTACCAATGATTAATGAGTAACAGAATAAAAACCATTTGCTGCACGTGCCTGGATCAGGGTGGGGTTCAGTTCATCAGTTCATCTTAGTTCCTATCTGGAGGTAAATACATATAAGTACCGTACTGACATGCGACTAGAACTAGCCAGTAGCCCAGTCTCTCTTGGAAAGACAGCTGAACTGATGCCTTGTCTTGATTCACTCCGCAGAGTTACACCACCAGACGTATTGTAGCTGGACTGATCAAGCAGATCATGCATGTCGTTTAGAAAGAAGCATTGGGTATCGGCGCCTCAGATGAGATTTATTTACTGTATATTAATGTATATTATACATCATGACCCTGGAAGAGTGCGTGTTGCAGAGGTTTCTTGCGCCAAACTTGCAAGCTTTTGACGGTGGCCTGTCTTTGTTCTCCAGAAAGTGTTTGACAGGAGAGCTCTTTCATGGATGAAGAAGAGATTGAGGTGGGCCAAAGCCACAACCATAAGCGTTCTGAGAGGTTTTGAGGGAGCGAAGCTGTTGCCAAGAAAGGCAAACTATGGCAAACTGCAGGGTCATCTTATAGGCAGAGTTGGTTGCGTAAATCACAGGAGTCAGAACCAGGTTGATGACCCCAACAGGGATCAGTGAATCCGGAGAGCATGTCAGGCAGAAGAGCTGGGTGATCAAAGGGAGAACCAAGACAAGTTGAGGGCTGAGATGGGTTCGGAGACAAACTCAATGTGGCCTGGATTTTTTGCGTGAGCATTGTAGCTGGCTGTGTTGGAGTGTTGCAAGTCTAGCAGAATAAGAGAGTGTAAGCATGCGAGGGCACTCCATTGTATTTTCCGCATTGGACAGATCGCTGATTCATGGACAACCCATCACCTGCAGTTATTGTGGGCATTTGGGGGCTTAGGATCTTGGACTGGCTGGTTCCTCAGAAGTTAGGAATTTCCGTCCTCTCTCAAACCATCTAAGAAATTCTAAGAATATCACAAATAGAAAACAAGGTTTCCAGGTTTCTGCGCAGTGTCCAATATGTCCAGATGAATTCATCTCAATATGCCTACATATGCATCTATTGTTTGTGACAGGGAATGAGTCTGGTGTAAAGGCATGACACATGGCCAAACAAACCTCACAGGGGTCCGGGACACAGAGCTAAGAGCAAAACACATTCTTTTGAAGCATACAGCATACTCACTTAAGCTTCCCCATGTCATCTGGGGTGTTCGAGCCTCGGCCCAGACAGGGCCTCCTGTCTCATCCAGAGATTACTTTCATATACTTTCAGGTGGTGCCAGCGTCAGCTGCTCCGAGTCTTGCGGCGTATGGTGAGATTGCCAAAGGTGGGTCAAACCAAAACATCGACAAATCATTTGGCGATCGACAGATGGCTTTGTTGAGATAGGGAATGCACGAGATCGCACCGACAAATTGCTGGTGCTTCCTCTGGCTCGCTCACGAAGGCGGGACCTTTCAAGGAGCCCCTTCCATGGAAAGAGCTTGGCTTGGAGGACTATCCGGAGGTTCCCTTGGTCACAGCTGGTGGCCGTTGCAATTGCAATGTCTCCTACTACGCAACTCAGCAACTCAGTAGCAGAAGATATCAAAGGAACCATGTTCAAAAATGTTCAGAAGCAGCTATTTATTACAGGATTTCAATTTTTGTGGATGAAAGGAGTTTGTCAACACCGATGAGGAGTCCAATGACACAAAATGAAATAAGAATAGTGATTAAACCTATTTGATACCGAACTTACCTGCTCAGTCTACCCAATACATTAATCATTGACCCCTTCAATTGGTAAGAATTGGGAAAGTTCACTTCAATTCTGCATGTAAGGGCAATGAGTGGGATCGAAGCAGGCACCTTGCAAATTGATGTGGGAATATTTCCTGATTAAGCTTGCGTGAAATATCTCTGAACAGCTTTCATTTTCTATCATTTTCTGTATTTTTCTATCAACCAGGGCAGTACATGTGCGCGTCCAACACGGTCACCATGTGGCCTGTTGCCAACCAAAAATATCCCAACCTCAAAGACTCTCGCTCATCCAGCTGGTGCCGCTGGTGCCAGGTGGTCACCGATCCCATTGATCTCAGGAGATTGCGGGAAGATATGAGAGCCTTCCAACATTTCTCCAAAAGTCCGACTTTGTCAAGAGCTGGCAATCCTTTTGATAGGTTTGGGTCCTGAGGCCTGAGGCCGCAACAACAGTTTCTATCCTTAGCCATGACTGTTTGGAGGTCTCTTTAGAACAGACAGTTGCCTTCAGGGGGCTTGCAGGACCATTGCTGAGCGCCTGCAAGATGGCAGCTACAAGGACGCAACAGGTACAACAGATGAAGGTTGCATCCTGAGGTTGAAGCTGCTGGGCTGCTTAAATGTGGCTGCCTGCAATTCTCCTGGAAAATGGGGTATCAAGATAGGCAAGACTCAAATATAGCCTAGCGTTCAGATTGGGTCTATTGGGTGTCCTCCAGATACAGTACAGTAGCTGCGGATCGTTGCAACTGGCACTTTCCGTCATACAGTATGAAGGCCGAGTATTTTAGCCACCATCATCTTGGTGGGAAATCGAACCATCAATGATTTGGAAATGCAATTAATCTATGTAGATGTATGTAGCTTGCAGGGCCAGTTGCAAACTCTGCATTTGGATTGCCAAGACAAGACACCTCTGCCACTTCCTTCTTTGGCTCCAGAACCAGCGCAGGATGAAGAGGGCTTCGTCAATCCAGACTTCTTCTGGCAGGACTCGAAGCAACCCTATTGGAAAGCTGCCTGTGCAGAAGATACGTTTTCCGGTTCCAGAGTTTCCAGAGGTCAAGGTAATAAGATGTAATAAGTATGTATAATATAGTGGCTTTGGTATGATGCATGGAACCAAACTAGACATTTGAGCTTTGAAAGGCCAACGCATGTGGCTGTGGAGGATTGTATAGGCGGATTTCTATGTTTTCGTCCCTTGGATCGCAAGCCCTTCCCTTCAGCAATCAAAAAAGGATGTTGCGCTTTGCTGGGAGAATTGCAAGATGTACTACGAGGCAAAGAGACACGGGACGGTTGGAATTCCAATCCATGTCGCACTCAGGCATATTCCAAGGAGGTAAACACGATCAGAGGGGTATTTTGGTACATGCAACATGTTGCAACTGGTAATTTGCTTTTTGAGACTTTTTGGAGACTTTATCATTTTGCATATTTTGCCCCCTTCGAGGGTGTCGCAACTTGAGCAGGACGACCATGAAATTGAAGCTGTGCGTATGGCGGAGGACATGGTTGCCAGGTTGCGCTTGTCCTCTGGATCTCAGCACATCCAAGCAATTTCACAATCAGCATGGCAATGAATTCGCCTGGGGGATACCGTCTAATCCAATCTAATCCATACAGTATTCAGCATTAGTTATAAAATTGCACACAAATAACTTGATCGTTTTTCATATGTCTATATTACAACGGCAATTATTTGGGCAGCACTCACAGCACCTCGCAGGAGATGAGGGTGGAAGCAGAGAAGTTGGAGGATGAATTCTGGCAAGACCTTGAGAAGTCCATTTCCACAGCCGATGCAAGGACTTCCCTGGGACAACTTGCTAGATATTGGTAAATAGCCCCATTTAACTAGCTGCAGCCATGCATTATCCATTTCATTACTTTAATTTGCGTAAATGCTGATGCTGAAATGGCATAGAAGTTGGGATTCGGGATGAGAGATCTATGCATGATCCGTCTCTACTGTAGGTGTAAAGCATTGTAACTTTTGTAACCTGTCGGATCTGTCGGGGTGCGCTTTGCCACATCCAAGGTTCGAAGCATCGCTCGACCGAGTGAAGGGGTCCCTTGGAGCGGACATTCGCAGGTGGCAGGCACTGTTTTTAGATTGTTTTTAGAGTGACTAAGAGGAAATCCAGGGCAGATGCTGCCCAATGCTGCCTGAAACCCACATGCTGATGACCCATGACTTGCAGCAGTTGCGATTAAATTCGACCTGCTTTTTAAGACCAAGAGAAAAGTCACTTAATTGAGTGAAAGTTGTCCAGTAGCATGTCCTGAAGTTCCGAGGAATGCCTTGATCAAAGTCGCTGCAGTTGCCGATGTTGCGAAAGGTGCCATGAAGGCACGCAGTGCCATGGAAACACGCTATGCATGGTTTTGTATCATGTTGTATTTAGATCAGGGAGGCTCGTCGAGAAGGAAGTAGAGCACGTGTATTGAACGAAGCCGCGCCCCATTTGTGACTACTATTGACAGTAGACTCCCAACCTCTTTGATCCAACATGATCCAATGGCCTTTTCCCTTAATGTGCAGACGGATGGCTGGGGCCGCTCTGAGCTGCTACAGGACGCCGCAACCCTTGCTATGGAAGAATCAATGAAGCTTGCGAAACGTCACCTGGCGGTGATTAATTACCCTCCCTTTTCGCGGGAACTGATCAGCTGGAGATCAGCTGGTAAGACACGTCGAAGCCAGTTGACTTGACCGGTATGCACACGATCGAATACTGGAAGCTTATCCCATTCCCCTTCTGTCCATGTTTTGACCCAGGAATTCCTTCCCTTCCATCCTAAGTTGCACAGCTCCAATTCCCATGTGCCAGGTACCCAAGACTGGTGGCCCAGCTGGCCTGTTTTGGTGGAACTCCAAAGTCTCGGCCTTTGCATTTTGCATCCGCAGATTTACCATTTACCAACCTGCTGCCCGACCTGCCCGACATGTTCAGCTTAGCAGCGCAATCACAGTGCCGCCAGGAACAAGCTTCGCGGAAAAAAGATGGAGCCGACCGGGTCTCAGTCTGTGAAGTGCAGAAACCACTATTAGCCGTTGGCACAAGTTTATTGCCTATGAATGCCTATGACTCTAGGACTTTTGCTGGATGAAGTAAATTATAAGAGGTGGGAGTCAGTCCATCTTTGTTACGTTACCAGAAGGCCAGAAAGCTTTCAGCCGGTCTTTGCCGATAATGCAAAGAAGCCAGGCTTCGCTTTTTCTTTATGCTGGGGCTATTCATGATGCAGATCACTGTTTGCCAACACATAGACATGATGATAATATATGATAATGAACGTTTTGGTTCATAAACTAAGCATCTGAACAGATTGCAGTTCCTCAAGGTTATAGTCTGGCGAAAACCCACTGCTCACCATATTATTAGTGTTATTTCACTGATTGCACCTTGATGCCTGATTTTGATTGATTTTGGCCATCCATATACTGGACACTGTTAGAATTGTTTTCAGATATATAGATTTGCTATGTGCACTGGACACTTATGTAATATATACTTACACTGATTGTGTATGTACGTACGTACATATATTAGTATATATATATAATATATTATGATACTATTCTTGTTTCAGGCACACACACACACACTGTCACACAATCCAATCCATTTCAGCCACAAGTTCTCCGCGGATTCTGAGGGAAGAACAAAAAGAGATCCAAGTGCTCCAGATGGTGCGCCGGCTGCTGCCGCTGTCGTCTTTCCTGTCCACATCCATTTCGAATGCCAATGTGCAGCATGCTACATACTTCCTTTTTGACGTGTCTGAAAAACCCTTGATGTAGATAGAAGGAGGATGGAAGCTCTACATGGGTTTCTTGCATTTGAAACACCTTGGACAGCTTCAACAACATCAGAATGAGCAGTGGCAGAGAAACCTTTACCCCATCTATGTTTATTTTAAAGATTTGCAGCACCTGTATTAGACCTCACGTTCTCAGCACAGCGTCCAGGAAGTGAAGCCACGGTTGCGCGACCACTTCCTAGAGATGCATAGCTTTATTAATGGAGTCAGCAGTGACCTTACGCTTTATACAGAACCTTTATATAGCTAATGATTCAATATGATTCAATGATAGAACCGGCCAGTTGAAACGTGGAAGATATGGAAGACCGAAAGCTCGTAACCATCCCAAAGCTGTCATCGATTAATCGCTTCCGAACCGCTTCTGATATGACGGTAACAAGACGGACAGCCGAGGATGCTCAAGCTCCGCTTCCGAGTGAACGGTTGGGAGGAGGGCAGTGGCGCTTGCCGCTTATTTGCTCACCATTCGGCCTTTGGGAAAATCAGTACATTATAGATACATATCAATACATATCAATACAATACATATCAATATATATATATATATATATCACATCAGTGTCCATACAGCAGTGGGTCTTGACCCCTGAACATGATTAAGAGAGGTGTAGCTACTACAGCACATCATTTCTGCTCAGCAGTGAGGACAACCTAGATGTAAAGCTCTAAGTTGAGAGCATGCACAATCCAACCAATTGCCCTTGTCTGCACATGTCTGCACCAGGACATCATGGGTATCGAAGAAGAGGTTCTCTTTGGCATGCGAGACAATTGGCCCACTTTGGACCAGGTTCCTACATTCTTGATGGATCTTGTTTGGGCACCTTTGTTCGTTCCCTTCCCTTTCTGTTCTCCATCGTTGGCGTTTCCACAAAACTGCGGTTGAAGGGACAAAATGCGACATATCCAATGTTGAACAAACATCCTCTAAGTGTGTATGGCATCATCACAAGCACTTGAGCACCGAATGCTCAGTTTGCATTGAGGTACTTCCCATATCCCATATGCGCCCGACAGGAGTCTGACTTGAGCATTGTGGGAGAGGATGTCGAAGCTTGGGATGCGAAAAAGATTGCAGTGGAGAGGCCGACCAGGGTGGTGACCATGTCGAATGATCCACATCATTTCGCACCACAACGCTGGAGAACTGCTGGAGATGGATATACATAATATAGACACGAGATATTGCAAGACTGGAGTAATTTAAGAATTTACATTGGTCCAGGATTTGTCAAAGAAATTGGGCAGCCAGGCAGGTATCCGCCTCGATAAAGTACAAAAGAGTCACGAATGTGGGTTCTGCCGGACACCTCTCCTGTTTTGAATGTAGCTTGTCGCCCGAGAAGCGGCGATTTACAAGATTTTCAATCCAACACGGTCTGGTTGGTTATGTCATGTGATCTTGTCATTTTGTCCAGATTAAGCGGGGCACCTTGGGGACAGGTTGCTTCCTACGAAGTACCTGAGTTATGTGCACGGTTAGGCTCCCAAAGCATGCTGCTGGGTTTCTCTACATGGACAGTTGATTGTTTTCAAGTGTTTGCCAGCAGGTTGGTCCTCCGCTGTTATGATCTGATGTTGTCAGTAGGTGCAGGTCTGTGGATCCCCACTCCCGTGCTTCCCTTGCTAGATTTTTACTGCTTTGAGTCTTAACTTCTGGTAGCAATTCAGGTTTGTGTACTGTACGTCTTTGTCACAAAGACGTCGTCTGCTTTTTGCCCGAGTGGTGTCAAAGCATTGAGGGCTTTGAACCGAGGTGGTCAGCGTGGGAAGCGCATTGAGCAGGGGCACAAAGACAGCTCGCATGCAAGTCCTAGTGAGAGATCTCTAATCCAGAAGAGCTGACAGGAAACATTTCAGATGTTGTCATGGCATTCTGACATCCTCATAGACTGGAAATTGCAACAAGGATGTTCTCGAGGGATCGAGGTTCTGGCAGCCTGAATTTAAACTGTCTCTTACCACTTGCTGTATGCTGAAATTTGCTCAGAAAGAAACTCTTAACTTTGCAGTGCCTTGATACTGACATTGCAGATGAGGTCACTGGCCAGTTCCAGGTTGGATGGGGGTGCTGGGCAGGTTGTCGGGTGGTTCGTACTGAGACTCACCAGTCAAATGTAGTGAAGTGTGCGTTGGGCATTCCATCGAAATAGATGGCAAACCGCAGATTTCTTTGCAGTTTTTTTTTCTGCTAAAAGAAATATCAACCTACAGAAGGGTGAAAGATGGCACGCTCAGACAGTTTGTACATGTTTGTACCGTCCAGGAGCAGTGTCAGATCATCTCCTCGGTTTGGGACTGGTGGATCTCGCGCAAGCCTCAGACCATCTCAGCAATGGCGACATTGAGCATGCCATTGTGAGCCATTGTGCCTGGTCCCACCTTTTGTGCGGAATGCACTTTGATCTTATGTGACGTGTCTTTCAGCCCGGAGCTGCAAGGTCGAAACTCTTTCGAAAGTTCTAGGGCCGGGTCAGAGAGGCTTGGGATGCAGTGTCAAAAGCAGCATTCATACAATCCTTGCTGAACAAAATACAGAATGTGCCATCTTCAACGGCAAGGGGAAAATGCAGATGTTGCGTGCACCCGTTTTTCTGGGTTGGTGAGGTCAGAGAGCAGACAGTAGGGGTGCTCAGCTGTCTTCATGGGGAGACTCGTGCACTCGTTCTGGAAGCTCATTGTTCGGACTAGCCAGGAGTAGAGTACCCTTTTCATTTTTGCATCGCGCGGCTTCCAGCTCAAAGGACCAGTAGATTGGCAACATTTCCTAGCTTGGTTCACTTTCCTGCAATGTGCTCTGAAGATGGCTCAATTGCACGGAAGAAGATGATAGAACTTATGTATATGACTGTATATGTATTATATATGTGTATATATATATATACATACAAGTATATACATATCATATATATATATATGTATACAATGTATGCTTACATACTCTCTCTCTCTATATGTAACCCCGACCCGGTTTTAAAGATGGGAGCTATGTATATTTGCTCCGTAGTGTGTTGGCTTAAGCTAACGTATGGTTCTTTGCCCCGGGTGCCATAACTTTGTGGGGAACCCCTGCGCCTGCTGCCGAACTGCCTCCAGAATCCAGTTCTTTCTGACTCGGACGCAGTTTCCTCCGGCAGTTGAAGGAAGGCTGGTGGGGATTCTGAGGCAGGCAGTGGGTGAGATCACCGACGTTGCTGAGCAGCTGGGTTCCTTTCGCACGGCACCAACCCCGGGAGCAGTTGCAGGAGCTCCTGACGGGCCAGGAGGGACAAAGACCGAAGAGGTAGTAAAGGAGGAGAAGTCAGAGGCACCAGTGGAGAAGGAGAAGAAAGAAAAGAAGAAGGACAAGGCAAAAAAGGCATCAAAAGACAAGAAGCGAGACGAGAAGAAGCGAGAAGCGGCATCGGGAGCAAAGGAGGCTCCTGTGGAAGAGAAAGAAGAGCCCAAGGAGGAAGAGGTAGACGCAGAATCCTTGAGGAGAGACAAGGCTGCCCCACTTGTGGAGGTAAGGCGAGGAGCGGGACAAGATCGTCCTGATCTCCAAGAGTCAGTTGACAAGTACGTGGCCAAGCACCCAGAGAGGTTTGGTCTAGGCTCCCTTTCTGTACGTGGCAGTGCCGCCAAGCACTTCAGGGCCAACGACGGAGGAGGTCGAGAGAGACCGCCCGAACCCAGGGGCCTTCCGCCGAGTAGGAGGCCGACTGCAGGAGAGCAACCGCATCCGAGAGGAGAGAGGCGACAAAGATCGAGGACGCCAAAGAGAAAGTCAAAAGGAACGAAGCACCGGCAAAGAGGCAGGGACTATTGGCGGCAGGTCCAAGAGAGGGACCGATGGCGCCGAAGGTACAACCAGCAAGGAAGGCAAGGGCCCGAGCGGGGGCAAGGCCACCGTTAGGGAGAAGAGGAGCGGGAGGGCCCCCGGGGGGGCCTCCTGGCATGAGGAGGCCGGCTGGAGCGAAGGAGAACAAACGAAAGAGGCCAGCTGGCGTAGAAGAGATAGACTTGGAAGCAGAAGCTTTGAAGCGATGGGAGAAAGGCTACACGGTCCTGCTGCGCTATCTCGATACACGGGCTCTGGAAACGGGCAGTGGGTTGGTCGTCACAGAAGGCACCTACTACCACCGAAGGGTGACATTGGCGGGCAAGGTCAACAGCGTCACCGTGAGCGGAGGAGTTACGACAGCCAAGATGGCCCTCACAGGGACGGGAGACGAAGAGCTCCTGAAGTTCCACACATCTCACCCAGGGGTCGAGATAAGAGCCCATGTCTGTGGAGCCGAATGCAACAAAGAGGAGGCAGCAGAGGACCTGGTGCACATTCAGGTTGGGAGGAAGATGAGAGAGGAAGGCGCCGAAGATCCATGGGTGACCAACTTGATGAAGGTGGCGGCCCCAGAGGACGACGGCGACGAGCTTGCCCTGATCCGAGCCCGGGTCGGCGGGGGCCCACGAGGAGAGGCCCCTGGGAAAGACAGAGCAGAGGAGGCGAAGGACCTAAGGGCCCTGGAGCTCAGTCCTGCGCGGAAGCGGAAAGAAAAGAAAGAGAGGAAGAAGGAGAAGCAAAAAGAAAAGAAGGCAAAGAAGAGGAACCGGAGGGAAAGCGCCACAGAGGATTCAGGGAAGACGGAGGAGCCCATCAGGCTAGACGGGTCCCGGGCCCGTCAAGCCTGTCAGAAGAAGGCCAGACTCTTGTTTGCAGGCACGGGGCTGGATCCAAAGGATCGGGTGCGCAACAAAGTAGCACGGAAAGCGAGGCAGCACCTGAAGAAGAGGACGGACAAGAACAGCTCGAGCTCGAGCCAGGACGGGAGCCACACGAGCTCCTCGGCAGGCCTGGAAGATGTAGAGGAGAGCATCTTCGAGGAGGGGTCAAAAGTGCGAGTCATCGCAGAGCACTTCCCAGGAGCTTTGTCAAGTCAGGCACTGAGATCAATGAGGTCCACGCTGTTGCAGGAGATTGGGTCCGAGGATCGCCCCAACACCTTGCAGCCAGTTGCAGTGGCCTATTATCGGCAGCAGCTGCAACGCCGTGCCGGAGGTCCCACGGCGCGGGAGCTGATGACACTCTGCCACTCAGTGGATCAGCTCCTGAAAGGAAAGCCATCCTCAGCCATGGATGCGATGATTCAAAGAATCAAATCCATAGAGCAGAGCTTAGCAGGGAGTCACTGGTCAGTAAGCCAGAGACAAGAAGTACTCCCAGCGGACAATGCGACGCTCACAGCTCTCCCCGAAGCTTCTGCAGCACAGAGAGAAATCTATCAGGAGGCCAAGAGCAAGTGGCTTTCGGCCTTTCCGGAAGGAAGAGCCCATCAAGGAGGCAAGAGCAAGGGCAGAGGAGAAGGGAAAGACAGAGGCAAGAGTCCCGACAAGGGCAGAAAAGGAGGAAAAGGGGCAGGAGCCAAGAGCGACGCGCCCAAGAAGAAGGATGCCTGAGGGAAGGAAGGTGCCTAGAGGATGAGATTGAGGATTTGATTGCGGGAGCTATGGCTCCTGAGAGAAGTGAGGCTGACGCCGATCAAACTGAGGTAAAGAATTATAAGGGAGGAATGGTAGTGGCCTCCCCTTCACGTACTGAAGAAGGCGTCGGTGGGGAGGGCTATGGCCTCACTAGCCGCTATGAGCCCCACTCTTCAAAGCTGCATGAGACCTCGACGAAGCATCGAGCGGATCGAATTCAAGATGAACCAGATCGGCACTGTGGGTCATCTGGCCCTGCTTTTGCTTTAGCGGCCCTCGAACAGATGAGCCGTGACCGCGCCGGTGCCCAGCAGAAAAATGATGCGCTTCCGAACTTGGGTGGCAGGACAATGGGTTCGTTAGGTCATGCATTGTTTCAAAAACTCTTAGAAGTTTTGCCACTTCGCAGCCAGCCCATGGGTGAAGGTAAAGCTAGGACTCTTTTCCCTTTGCCCACTTCTAAAGAGTTTATTTTGGAACTGCAGCCTGGCCTTACGGAGGATGAGCTTGCCTGGACTTTGTGTGTTTGTTGGTCGCTCAACTCACTTTGGGGAGAGGCCCTTACCAATGATTCACCCCCAAATTCTTGTCAAAAGAGGTGTTTGGATGAACTGGTGAAACTGGTGCAGAACTTTGCAGGGATGACAGTCAAACTCGATGACCTGAGCTGGGACCAGTTTCTACAGGTTAAAAGTGTTGACTATCGTGGGGATGAGGTCAAGGTTGGCCGCTGGTTCTCCTGGTCTAACATTTCACCAGCTTTGCCTGCCGAAGTAGGAAAAGTACCATTGGCAGAAGTATGTAGTCTAGGTGCTAAGCACTATGTGGAGGCATTCGATGACTTTTTGAAGTCCCCTTCAGAATGGCGCCCGGTGCGATCCCCGAGAGTCATGGTCAGTGACTCTTGTTGGGGTGAGGTATGCACTGGCTTGGTGTCATCGGGGGTCTGCGTTTGGCTCGAGGAATCAGAGGTCTTTCAGGTGGATGACTCTCCTCTTTTGAACGGTTTATTCGGAGTCAGTAAAGATGATTTCACAGATGAGGGTGTTGAGATTTTTCGACTGATCATGGACCTGCGTCCCCTGAACGCCCTGTGTATGCCTATTTCAGGAGATGTGGAAACACTCCTTTTTTCCTTCAGCCTAGTGAGCGGTTAGTCATTAGCTCGGAAGACGTGAAATGCTTCTTTTACACAATGAAGGTACCACAGTGTTGGGTGAAGTATCTCGCCTTCAACAAGTTGGTGCCGCCAGATGTGTTGCCAAAGCACTTACAGGGTAAGAGGGTGTACATTGCCTCGGCTGTTTTGCCAATGGGGTTCTTAAACAGCGTGAGCTTGGCCCAGCATGTGCACCGTAACCTGGTGCACTGGTCAAGCGAAGCGGGAGGAGCCGCGGGGGTTAACACTCCTGAACAAGAGCTCCGGAAGGACCGCTCCTTCACGGTGAGCAACCCCGCGTGGAGGGTCTACCTGGACAATTATGACCTCCTTGAACGGGTAGAGGCCACTGAACTAACGGCCAAGAGGGGCACAGTAGCACCAGGCGTCCTATCGCTTAGGCAGGAGTATGAGCACTGGGAGGTGCCCCGAAACAAGAAGAAATCGGTGGAGCGTGCTCTGCGCGCAGAAATGCAAGGCGCCACTGTGGATGGTGAGCGGGGTGTTGCCTACCCTCGAGAAGTGAAGCTCGGGCGATACTTTGTCCTCGCCCTCAAGCTCATGGCAGAGAGCGCTGGTACTCAGAAGCAATGGCAGGTGGTGTGCGGGGGTTTGGTCTACGTGAGTATGTTTCGTCGACCTCTCCTGGGCAGCCTAAACTGCGTATGGCGGCACATTGAAAGCTACAATGGCAGCGGGAGAAGGTTTATGAGGACCCCTGGGGATTGCAAGCTGGAAGTGCTTCGATTCCTAGGATTGCTACCCCTGGCCGTCCTTGACTTCCGGTTGGGGATACATCCGACGGTGACATGCAGTGATGCCTCATCAGGTGGTGGGGGAATCTGCGCTTCTGTGCGCACCACCATGGTGGGCAGGACGATTGCCGAAGGCAGTCTGCGCGGCGAATACCCTGAACCACGTTGGGATGGCGGGGTCGTCGTGATCGGGCTGTTTGATGGCATTGGCGCATTACGGGTAGCAATGGAGCTCCTGGGCGCCCCCATCATTGGCTATGTGTCGGTGGAGAAGCACGAACCAGCGCGGCGCGTCGTAGAGCGGCACTATCCTGGAGTCCTACACTATTTCGACGTCATGGAGGTCACAGCTGAGCAAGTTAGGCAATGGGCTACCCTGTACTCCCAGGCTTGCCTGGTGGTGATCGGGGCTGGCCCACCGTGCCAGGGCGTTAGCGGGCTAAACGCCGACAGGAAAGGCGCCCTACGAGACGAGCGGTCTTGCTTGTTTTCGGAAGTGCCTCGGATCCGCGACTGCGTCAAGCAGGCCTTCCGATGGTGTCCAGTGTACACCTTGATGGAATCAGTGGCCTCAATGGATAAGAAGGACAGGGATATCATGACCCAGGGGATTGGAACTGAACCACTTCGGTGCGATGCAGGGACCTTGACATGGTGCCACAGGCCCAGGCTATACTGGTGTGACTGGGAGATCGTGGAGTCACCGGGTTATCATATCACCCCGGGCAGCGCTGGCGAGCCCAGCGATCTTGTCCTTGATGGGTGCCAGGACCCCAATGAAGTTATCCGGGCAGGCTGGGTCAAGGTGGAGCCTTTGAAATCGTTCCCAACTTTCACGACCTCACGACCACGATCCGTCCCAGGACGCAAGCCAGCGGGAGTCCAGCAATGCTCCTCGGACGACTTACGTCGGTGGGAACTAGATCGGTTTCGTTTTCCGCCGTATCAATACTGTATGGCCAACTGCCTGGTGAACAAACACAACGAGCTGCGGGTCCCTGATGTGGCAGAGAGGGAACTCATGTTGGGGTTTCCTCTGAACTTCACCGCAGGTTGCCTCCCGAAAAACAGGCAGAAAGGTGATGAATACAATGACTGCCGTCTTACGCTACTGGGCAATACCTGGAGCGTTGTAGTTGTTGCCTCCCTGCTTGGCCAGCTCCTTACCCGCTTGGGGATGCTTGGGCTACGTACTCCTCAAGATCACCTCAATCAAACATCACCTGGCGGGTGTCCCTTAGTTCAGGGGCGCCTGATCCGGCTGGCCCTTAATCCGGGGAAACAGGCGCAGGAAGACGCTTCACAGTTGCTTGCCCAGCGCCTTTGCAACCTCATCTCTATTAAAGGAGAAGATATCCTCCTCTCCACCCCAACGTCTCAACAAGCAAAGTTCCACCGCCTCCGAGCGACGCTGCCAGCCATGTCGTGGAAGTGGAGAGTGGTCGCTGGTTGGAAGTGGAAAAGAGGTGGGGATCACATCAACAGCCTGGAATTACGTGCCATACTAACCACCTTGCGGTGGAGGGTTGAACATGCAGGACATTTTCGTACGAGGTTTATCCACTTGACTGACAGTCTTGTGTGCCACCATGCCCTGACGCGTGGGCGCAGCAGCTCACGAAAACTCAGAAGGACCATGTCTCGAATCAACGCGCTCATTTTGGCATCGGGGTGCCACCCCTTTTGGGGTTATGTGCATACGGAGCAAAACCCCGCGGATAAACCCAGTCGCTGGGGGACGCGGGTACGCTCTAAGTTCCGCAATGCCAAAGCGTAAGCTTTTGGAACACCCTGAAGCCACTGAGCGCGCAAAACAGAGACAAGCCTTGGGCACTTTACATGACCTCACAGTTCAACCCACCACTAGGAAAAGGTACCAGAAAGCAACCGAAGCCTTCTTTCAATTCCTGCGGCAAGAGGGGATCGTCATTCCAAAAAAGAAGGAACAGTTTGACCATGTTGTTTGTGAATTTCTAGAGTATTTGTGGAGTACGGGGGCTGGCCGGGGGCAAGCCAATGACACAGTAGCAGGCCTACAGGATCTTCAACCAAGCCTACGTCATCATCTACCCGGATCATGGCGTCTCTTGAAGACATGGGCAGTGAATGAAGTGCCAAACCGGGCACCACCCCTGCCTGAGCAAGTCGTCCACGCAATGGCGGGCTGGGGATTCTTCCATGGGCACAATTCTTTTGCTGTTTCTCTTATCATTGGCTTCTATACCATGCTTCGCTCGGGAGAACTCTTGGGTCTCCTGTCCTCGCATATCCTGTGTGCTCCCCGTGACCGGCAAGTATTGATCTCTCTGGGTCTGACAAAGAGCGGCAAACGACAGGGCGCTGCCGAATCTGTCATTTTGGGTATAGAAGCGGGAATTGCTTTGGTCCGACAGTGGAAGCACGTTGCACATACTACGACTCCTTTGGTTCTTTCCCCTGTAAGGTGGAGATCTCTCTTTTCTGAGTGCCTCACGGCACTAGGTCTTGATAGATTTCAATACCGTCCGTACTCCCTCAGGAGAGGCGGAGCAACTTGGTGGTTTCAAAAACACCAGAACCTTGATCGGATTTTGGTGCAGGGGCGATGGCTGGCCCAGAAAACTGCACGTATTTACATCAATGAGGGTTTAGCGGTCCTAGCCCGAACCCAAATCAATTTCAAAGACCCATCTATTCGTTCTTTTCTGCAAGTGTATCACAGTACAGTCTCCAATCCGCGTTTCTCCACACTTGAGCCTCCAGCAAAAGCTGGAAGGGTTGGGGGACGTGGAAAGGACAAAAGAGACAAAGTCATCAAAGGGAGGAAGCGGGTAAAAGATCTTTTTTCTCGCATTTAGTGAGGACAGGGTTGACTACTGATTTCTTAGATGACAAGAAGTCAGGAGGTGTGGCTCGGCTTGCTTGTCAGAGGAATGAACCTAGTACTCTTTCACCCTGGGTTTGGCCGGGTGTTTGAGACGGTTTGCCTAAGGGAAGGCGGGTAGTCAATCCCTGTGGTTTGATCTGAATACTTTTACTTCTTTAATTTTGACAAATCAGCTGCGAAGTGGAGCAAAAATGTTAGCCGCACATCTTTGTAACCCCGACCCGGTTTTAAAGATGGGAGCTATGTATATTTGCTCCGTAGTGTGTTGGCTTAAGCTCCCAAACCCTCCCGTCCCGAGAGCAAAGCTCTTGAAAGGACAAAAGAGACAAAGTCATCAAAGGGAGGAAGCGGGTAAAAGATCTTTTTTCTCGCATTTAGTGAGGACAGGGTTGACTACTGATTTCTTAGATGACAAGAAGTCAGGAGGTGTGGCTCGGCTTGCTTGTCAGAGGAATGAACCTAGTACTCTTTCACCCTGGGTTTGGCCGGGTGTTTGAGACGGTTTGCCTAAGGGAAGGCGGGTAGTCAATCCCTGTGGTTTGATCTGAATACTTTTACTTCTTTAATTTTGACAAATCAGCTGCGAAGTGGAGCAAAAATGTTAGCCGCACATCTTTATATATATATATATACACATACATAGTTCGAGAAGGACCCACGTTGCGTTGAATCTCAAATCCTCAAGTCTTGGTCTTCGCTTCATGATTGGGCTTTCTAACATGACAGATGTGTGCTGCCAGCTGGTAAGCGCAACTGGCACTGAAGAGACGTTTCTGCACCTAGGCATACACCTCGTTCTCACAGGCCACCGCCACTTTGAATTTCCAGAGATTGCAGTCCTAAACTGACGTCTAGGAAGCATGCGTGCTCGAAGAACGCAATCTGTCAGTATGCATGTCCTCTCATGCTTTTTTGAGTGGAATTAAGCCTGCATGCACACAGACCTCCTGGCCATGTGATTTACAAAGCTCAGACATAGCTTGGGCCAGGCACAGTTGCCAAAATTCTTTTGATTTCAGCTGACCAGGTCAGAAGGCTCCAGTGTCTTCTCCCATGGCTCAGAGACATCCAAGATGATGAGTCGGGCATGGTGCACAGACGGCTGAGGCTGTTCGATCTGTTCTGCTTTGGAGTCTAGGCTAGCGGTAAGAGATGGCAAAAGACTTCACATCACTTCACAAAAAGTGGTTTGGGGGTTTGGTAATTGCAATTGATCTATATTATATAATCTTAGATGGTGTTGTTTTGCAGACTTCCGGTAGTCCCACTAAGGCGGTCAGAGCTTCAGTCCTCGAAGCAGGGGTTGCTGAGGCGCGATTCACCAAAGGTCTTATTTTTGTGGCTGAAATGTTGGCCTTTGTTTCCAAAGGGTTTTTGTGTTCACAAACCTATTCTATCATGTTCTATCCAGGTTCCAGGTGTCGACACATCTTCTGAGTCCTGGCCTCGAAAAATCTCCGCTTCGCAGAGTTACTCAATGCAGCTTAAGAGTCTGCTGCGCACCCGTCGCTATCCGTCGCTAGGTCAGAGCCAGACAAAGAGGAAACCAGTATGCCGCCGGCAGGATGCTCATTTGCTCACCCACATGGTGGGTGCTGAAGTTTTTGACTAGGCAACTTGTGGGTGCACATTTGATCAATTGTGGTCGCTAACAAAAACGATGCTCAGCAGCTCATCAGTTCATTTTTTTTGCAATGTTTGTCGAGAAAGACTTTTTGAGAAAACCTAATAGAATCCATGAATCCGTATGGTTTTCAAGCGGTCGGTCAGCGACGTATTTTTTTCAAGAAATTGAAGAGCGTTTGCACAGTCTGAGCCGACAATCCCCCAACAGACAACGGAGACAGCTTTTGCGGCCCATGTGCAAAAAGAGAGAAACCTTTGAAGTTTCGCGCAGAGACTTTAATTTGGCTTTAATCCACGCATGCCGAATGCTTTAGATGCTCGTACTCGTACCTTCTTGCATGCAGTCCTCACAGCCACATTTTGATAAAAACCCCTCACTGCCTGCCGATGTTGTTTTCCTTAGCGTGTCTTGCATCGGGTGTGCACCGGGCGTGCTGAGCAAAATTGGAAGAACTAGACAGTCAGAAAGTGTCAACTGTCACGTCTACTGCAATTATTCCTGGCTGTGAGGTGTAGGTCTAGGTGGATTATATTGGATTATTTTATATAGGTGAACATGGTGAATCATCCTTCATGCTCTCAGGTCAAGCGCTTGTCTTTGATGATGCCACCCAAGGGTCAGCGCCTAAGACACAACCTTTCAAGACTGGAGTCTTTGGGCCTTTGTCATGGGGAAATCTGCTCCAGGGAGACCATCAGCCTCCAGGCCTGGAAGTCCAAATTCAAAACAGCAGCATTTGCTGAGCTGCTGCGATTATTCTGCTTGGTCATGCGTCATGTTTCAGGTCAGGGCTTTTAGGACACATTCCATGTTTTAGGAAACACTTCCAGAGGGGGTGTCTGAGGGTTGTTGTCCTCGTGCCAACATGTTTTTTGGGTTGTTTTGGGCACAACGGCGCAACACGTTGTTTGCTTCTCCAATCTGAGCAGATGATGGCGTCATGGCTTCTGAGCTGTGAGCCCGGTGCTTTACGCATTGTGCCGTCCTTGAAAAATCCGGGGACAGCGGCGCATTGTTTTTCCAAGTTCATTGGGAACCATAATTTGTACATAGTGCGGCTCTCTTGTTCAAGGCTGCCTTTAATTACACGTAATTATATGTAATTATCATGTCAGGGCGATCTTTCAGGATCTTGCAGGTCTTGATTCGGAACAAGAGGCCTTGTACGTATACTGCTAAGATGCGTGACGTGAAAAAGCTGTCCGTAGCAAGCCAGGCCTGGGACGCTTGGGCGTTCTCTTCGATTGGTGCAGTATTCCGCACCAGCATTGACGTTGCAAGATGGGTTTAATGACAGTTCTTGCTCAAGGCATGCATGTGAAGTGAAGCATTGAATGGATGTCACTCTGTTTCTTAACACATCATACTGATACTACACTTAGTCACTATACTGCAACAGTTCGGACATGAGTTCAGTCCTAGTCATAATGTGCAAAAATACTCGCACCGACGCAACAGGGCGTGCTTTGTTCATGCCCACTGCATCAAACGTTGTCTATTAGGGCAGAGTCAGGCACAAATTGAATTTATCGAAGCACCACCTCCAAAACTTATTGCATCTGCTACCCGGTTGCCGCGGTTCGCGGCTAGAGATTCGCCATGTGCTCCAGCATTGGTGTCATTGCTATGACGGAGCCAACGGATGCTTACAGCAGAATGCTGCACGAAGCATTGGTCCACTTGGGTGAAAGGCCGGCGACCAAGGAGGTGGAGTGATCATATGAATCATACATGGTCATGATTCATGATTGCAGGATATTGCAGGTTTGCCAAGGAACTCCAAAGGCATTCCATTTCAATGATTTCAGTGCATTCCATTTCCAACAGCTTTTTAAGTACTGGGCAACATAGGCTGAAAACAGGGAGGCTCATAATTCATTATTTTGTTGGTCAAAATTTGGAGTACTGTCACGTACAGTTTGAAGTATATATATATATAGATATTTGCATGGAGTATTAGAATGTGTGTTGCATCGCAAGTTAATTGCTACACATAGTAACTTTTCTTGGAAATATATAGTTCAACCTGTTCCCTAAAACTAACTTTGGACGCAAGTCAAAACATGTCAAACCCGAAAGAACCGTAAATAAACCATTGCAAAAAACACTGATCTCAATCAAGTGCCTAGCATATTCATCTATCATACAAGAAAGGAATCTTGAATGATTTTGGTGATGATCTCAATATCTCAGATCTCATGTCAACTGCGAGCCATGCGAAAATGTTGACCGCAAAGGCTGGACAGTCTGGGTGCGGACGTGCTACGCATAGATGCTTGGTGGAACGGAGTGTGATGTCAAACATGTGACTGAATCGGTTTGCTCCGGTACTGCCTGGTTCAAGGAGCCCAAGGCCCAAATCAGTTGTGAAGGGCAAGATTAATGATCTGAGCCAATGATAAAGCATGCGTTCTTCTGCTCAATGAGTCAATACTGCAAGTTTGTCAAGACTGACCCTGCAAACAACAGGGGCGGGGAGGCAATGGTATCCTGCACATCAGGTATCATGATGTTGTATTTTTTTGGATTGATTAATGTATCTTTTTGTGTAATTCTGAGTGCCTTGGCCAGTGCCTGACCTGAAAATCCTTCTGCAGGAAACATCAAGAAACACTGCGGCAATTGAATATGCCATGATCAGCATGATCCATCCCTGAGGATTCTAGCCTTGCTACACTGACCGAGCAAGCCGAAAAGATGCCAAAACCAGAGTCAGCTTGTCAAGAGAAAGGACATTGGGAGCTGATGCATTGTTGGCACTTCCCTTCTTTTATCCAAGCCACTGAAGCAGCCAAACATGAGACTTATGGAAGTTAAAGTTGGATCAGCAACTCGGGCACAGTACTTCGGTACATACTCTCTGGGCAATCTCCAAACCAAAAAACTTCATTTTGCATTCTACATTTCTTTTAAGCGGCAGAGTTATTTTTACTCATCCTGAGCGCTTAAGACCTCCGTGCCTGAAACAGGAGGGCGATTGCCTCAGAAGGGTGCTGTGGGCACTCCGAACTCGACGGCATCTGCACGCGGGTCGGTGTCAAAGCGCATCGTTGCACTAGAACGTGGTCAGAGCAGCTTGACTCAATCCAGTCTGCTCGATTCGGCTTCACAAGAGGGCAATTTCACTGATTTAGTGACATTTTAGCATGTTGAAACATGAAAAGCAGCAATAGCAAGAAGAAGAAGAAGAAGAAGAGGAAGAAGGAGAAGAAGAGGAAGAGTGAGAGCAAAAGCAATGAAGCCGGGAGATATAGGCAACATCCTTGCGATATTTGATCAACACATAGACCAAATGGGCATCAGATTTCCCATGCAGGGACTCTGGCAGCCGGCACCCGAAGAGCTTTGCGCCAGGCTGCTGCATGTAGGGACTGACATGGTTGCGTGGGAGTGTGAATATGTACACATGCAATATTATATATATAATTATATATATATAATTATATATATATATAATTATATATATATGTATGCATATATATATATACATAAATATTTATGAAGAATGTATCCACATATGGTTTAGAGAAGCTTCGGACCGGGTGCTCTTGCTGGTTCTGGATTCTTTGCTGCTGACCACAGGCCTTAGCAGCCCAGCGTGCCGTTAAGGAGCTGCGCTGCTCTTAACACGGTGTGGCAACACCAGCAGTGTCAAAAACTTATTGGTTTCTTGTTCATATTGGGTTCTGTTAACCTTTTTGTTGAAAAGGGATCAACACAATCCATTATTGGAATAGCTTTAAACAAACAAGTAGGGTTAGTTCAAAACCAGGTTTTTGACGCTGCTCACATATTTTTTCTAGACACAACCCAGAACATAGGTTAATTATGGTTAATTCAAAAAATTGAAATCAGCAGTCAATTGGCTACAGAAGCTGTCATAACCTGTCACAACCTGTAGACTCTCCTTGGCTCCGTGGCTGTGGCCTTGCAGGAATCATCCGTGCCCGTCGTCGCCACTTCCCACGAGAGCTGGGCAACATGTCTGCATGGGACAGCATGGTACCATCAAAACTGAGTCGACAGGCTCTACAGCCACATGTCAGTTGAATGAAGTTGTAGTGATAGAGCGATTCGGTTGTGATATTCCTGCGGTTCCACGGGAACAACTGTCTGCGAAGAGGAACAGCTGCAGTGAAACGTGGTTTGTGTAACTTACTGGTAACTCGCCATTTGATTCCTGGTGAAAGGATGTAGGAAAGGTCCATAGCCTGTCCATAGCCCTATGGTGAATTCATTGGTGATCCGTTTGTAAAGGCCAATTGTTTTCAACATTTCCACTGCCACTCCTTGCACATCATGTCATGGGTGTTAGTGTGGCTTAGACCCTTGAATTACTTTGAATTCCATGACTGAAATCTTGACAACTTTGAATTCCATAGTATGGTCTGCGAGCTGGAGCCAGGAATTTCCTTGCTGGTTGGATAACTTCCTGCAGCAAGAATTTCACCAGCTGGATGGGCAGGTGCCTCCGCAGAGATGATGTAGATAGTGTGTCAATAGATTTTCAGCTGGTGGTGACCTTGTCACTTGCTTCAGAAAGTCCGTGAAAATCCGTGAAACTCCACTATTGCAAATGTTGCAAGCTGGACCTCCACAATGAATACAGAACAGGAATAGGGTACCACTCATTTTGTAAGGTCGCATATATCGCATCATGCGGCTCTCAGCAAAACTAGTACTGAAAAGGAACGATGTGTTTGTATGAACCTTTCAATTCAACCCAGTTTCCCCTCGTGGTTGTTCGGGATTTTCGTTACAAATGCGGTCCCGCTCCTGGTCGCTGGAATACCTGCAAGCCCCTGGCAAGCTGTTCTCATACACCCACCAGGTGTCCAAGCTGAGTACAAGCCTTCAAAGGGAGGCGAGGGCCCACGTTGACAGTTGCTTCTCAGGACTCCATCAGAGATGGCACGACGAAAGGATCATCATAGTGATTCGCAATACTTAAGCAGTGGATAGATTTGTGTGTATGATGTTGATGGAAAAGAAAAAAAATACACCGAGTCGTTGAGTTTCCAGGTGCAATGACTATGCGTGTGGTGTTGAATACCCGTAGGCTTTCCCTCCGGAGAACAGTTGGATTCTCAGCCTTGAGATGCCAATTAGCAGTTTGAACATAGACTTGAACGACTTGACCACTGCATGAATCGTCCTCGTGTCGAAGAGCTGTTGCCGAGCTTTGCCGAAGTTTCACCTGCCCTGGGCCGTTCCAACTGGATTTCCTCGCCGTGACTGTGGCCCGTGACTTTCGACGTTCACGGCTGAGGCCGCCCAGCTCCAAGATCATCATACCCTACCAGTCTGCATAGCATGAGGTCAGATCACAACAGGCCACACCTTCCACTGACAGCGGCAGATAGCGAGTGGTATGCCAATGTGGTCCTTGCTTTCAGACCTTCAGCAGGGGGGAAAACAGTGATTTCACAACAGTGACACGGGAATGCGTCAAAGCAAATTATTCCAACAAAAAAACAGTAGATGAGCATGCCAATGTGGGCTATATCATGCTCTCTCTCTCTCTATAGATATATATATATAGTATACAAATGCATACAACATTCAGTTCATTTTTTGGCTGTTGGGCAGCGTGCTAGGGTTTGGGTCCATATCCTAAATGCACAAAAACAACGGGGGTGATACTGGGATCCCAATCTTATATAATGAAATAAACCGATGGATAAACATGTGCAAGAGGGGAATTCCTTCAGGGGTACTGCAAACATGTTTGATGCTTCCTGAGCTTTTTCACAGATGCAAGAGAGTCATTTACACTCACTGCAGGAGTCGGGCTGTTTTTGTGTTAAAACAACAGTTCAGTCCATTTCGACGCGTCGTTCGGTTGTCAGTCAGCATCCATTTCGCTGGCCTTTCAGGCCTGCGATTCCCAGGGAGGGAGTCACCATCCCGGTGCAAGAGGCAAGGACGGCAACGAAGTGTGTCCAGGAGCCATTTTTCGGCCTGGGAAATTCTGGGAAACATCCAGGTCGTCCCCCAACTGTCAAGCAACCAATGAATATACACATTCTGTAGACTGTTTTGTGCACGCACACTCACAAAATTTCGACAACCAAATAACCTGTATCTCAGTATATCTCAGTATTCCGTCTCAACTTGTGATGACCCGCTGATGACCCTTCGATTTGGATCGATTTGGCAGTTTTGGACTGATTGGACTGTTTTGGTAGATGCATTGTAGTCTTGACGCAGTGTTTTTGTGTATCAAGAGTCTGGGGGGGGTTGGTGAAGAAGCTTCACGCATGGACAGATGAAACAGATCCAAAGAAGTAAACGTTGTCACATCCCCTCATCATTGGTCCAATTTCGTTCGAAGACAACAAGAACAAATAGATCATTCAAATCATTCTAGTTTTTTGCAGTAAATGGCATCCACCTGTGGAAAAGCAAGGCCAGCCCAAAAGAACACCCTTTTGCCCTCTGCAAGGGACATTGGCCAATTCTTTTCTTGGTCACTTTTTTCATCTTTTTTCTCATCTTTTCTCATCTTTTTTAATCTTGATTTCTTTCCATTCTTTTCCCAAGCCCCTTCTGTTGCGCAGATTGAGGAGCCACAATGCAGGCCTCCGAGTTGGACTGATGCTTCAGGCGGGGCTCTACAGATTCCACTAGACAGGATCGGGGCTGGGTTCAGAGATGATGGTACCATTGTTTTAGCATGCAATTTACAGTCAACGTCAAATTGAAGAAAGCCCTTGAGCAAACCTGTTTCCCTTTCAAAAGTTCTGTTGCATAACCCACATCATAAGTTCTGTGCATGGTATATGGTGACTCGGGACTTCCCAACTCCAACACAGGAATGTCCTTGAAACTATTTTTTGACAAACCAAATCAACATGCCACATTTCCAGATATCTCCAGATATCTCCAGATACCTCCAGACATCTTCCAGGACACCCTGCCAGAGTAGACCCAAGTTGCTGAGGCGGTGCCCAAGGTGCCCAAGCTCCGCAAGCTCCGCAAGCTCCCCAAGCTGCTGGTGACAGAGATCAAACCTTGGCCTGGAATCCTACAGTTCTGTGGGTAAAGATCTAGAAAGCACATCGCTGAACTGGGATATCCTGAGTTTGGAGAAGTACTCTTTTCATCTCTTTCCTTGGGACACCAAGAATAAGAAGAGAGGCAAGTGTTCGGAAATGAGTTGAACCAAAGATCGACAAGCTCGGAGAACAGAGGACAGCACTACATTATTGTACATTGTACTGCCTTTTTAGTAGACCCAGATGTCAAGAGCCTGCGAAAAATTATCCATGTTTGCATGTTGAGGTCGAAATGATGGAAGAGGCAGTGGAAGAGGCGCGTTGGCACTCCACTTGGAAGGAGTGTCTTTCTCCACATCCCTTATGAACGAAAGTAGTGAGGTGGAGGACACTGCAACGGAAAAGGTTGTAGTTGGTTTTCCATGAGCGTAGATCCAAAGAAAGTGACTCTGACTTTGAGCTCATTCCATTGGCAGTGGTGCTTTTACACATGCAATAGCATGATTGAGAATATGTATATGTATGCATGCGTAAGTATGTGTGTGTGCATATGTGATCATAGGCAAGAGATGATGGGATGCTGGTTTCGACAATTTGTCACTTGTCCATCCATACCCGGAATCATGAAGCCCCACGAGTGTGTGTGTGTGTATATATATATATACATATGTGTATATGTATATTACGTATATGTATAAATTGTATAATGTTTGTGGGATGGTTTGAAGCAGATCTGAAACCATCAAACTTTTCAAACTCTTGACACCCACACTTTCTGATATCGGGAGGCGGAAATGGAACAGCTCCACAAGGCAGGTCCTGTGTGGTCACGGATGTCTTGGGCCTGTGTTCATCACGAGATATCACCAGCCGGGTCAATCCACTCTTCAGCTGAAAATTAAAGGGCCGGTTTCCAGGTAAAAGAAGCACCTACTGTCCTGCACTTTCGAAGGCAGCTCGTGAGGAAGCGGAAAGGCTGCGCAAAGAGTTAAGCCGAGTAACTCGGTTCAACTGAGGAAGTTAAAAAAACTCCGTCCTTCAGATTTAGCTGATTTAGTTTAGCAGGTACCCTTTCGTACTGGATATGGCCCATTCACTGTAAAACGATAAGGAAGAACAAAAATAACTCACATTATATACGTATGTTAACATCAGGTTATGGATGTTCTGCTGGCATGGGGTTCATGCACGCAAGTCATAGGTTTTGCATTGCGCTGTGTGTTCGCGGGGGCAGCAAAACGATGACAAAACGATAACAAAATCAACCCGAAAACTTGCTTTGAACACCAAGGCCCATTGACAAGCCATGGAGGTTAACCCCAAAGTTGGAAACCCAAGAAGTTAAAGAGCAAATGGGTTGTGTAATGAAAGCTGAGCGAAGACATTGTAGCAAAGCAGTGATTAAGCATGATTTCTTGATTGTTGCAGTATGTGCATGAGTCTCCCAAGGTTTGCTTGAATGGAAAAGCTTGGAAAACGATATGGGAAAAAAAACGACAAGATCAAAGCGGTAGCAAATTTATACGGGGCTTCTTTAAGACTTCTTTACCACCTCAACTGTGACCCTACGCTTCTTGATGGCCTTGTGGAGAAAACTTGACCCTGAATCGGTCTATTTTGTGGCAGTCGAAGGGCGAGAACGGAAGAAGCACTGCGATTGCAGAATTTTACAATTGAGATCAATTGAGACTTGTGCAGGTACAAAAGCTGTCCGCCCGGACGAAGAACAAACGCTGAGCCTTGCCTTGTGGCAAATGATCGAAAAAAGTAGCGAAGGAGCCTGACAGCTGAGAATTTGAAACTCAGCGCCAACAGTCCCAAGCTTCAAATTGCTCTCGGTTCAGCTTCCACTCATTTGCCAGCGACGCCCACCTGTTGGCAGTCGCTCTGCTCATGTGTAGAATGTGACCTGGGGATGCCCTGCACAAATGCTATCAGAGGGTTGTCACTCGAACTCATGCAATGCAAGTGAGATGGGGGGAGCTGGACCCGGCGATTTTTTTCAAGCATTCCCTGGCTGAATTTACAAATGCTGCCATCACCAAAGATGTGATCATGCAGTGGGAATACATTGCACGGCTATTTCCAAAAGATCACAGAGCTTTGTTTGCCGCTGCCGGAAGGTGCCGAAGGAATCGATGCATGAGGTCTCATCAGAATCGATTCTCTCAGACACACTACCAAAATATCACTTCAGCAAATGGTCATCACTAGCCCCAGACAGAAATCTGAATGTTTGCCTTGTAGATGGATGTATATAGATGGGACACATACTCTAGAGAAGGGATGCTTTCCATTGGCTTCCTAGAATGATCGGCAGAGCACCCGAATGTGTTGCTTTGGTTTCAGCGCTGACATCGGACAACGCGCCCCGCGCTGTGAAACTATGGCGTCAGCGGCAGCAGGTCGCTCTGCTGCACGGAAGGGATTGGACGGGCCCTTATGAGTAAAAGTAAACGGGCGGACCAGGAGAGTGAAGCTAACTAGACATACTGGACTGGCAAAGTATCTCCATCTTTGTCCATGAAAGCTATAGCGTTGAAGCATTTTGCCCTTCAAGTCTTGACCAATCAGCTTTGCTGTGGGGAGCAGGGAGCAGGGATTCCAACAATCAGGAGACCTGAGTCTCTTCTCTCTCGCGACAGAGAGAGAAAAGTAGTGCTCCGTTTCTTATCGTTTTGATCATTTTTGCTTTCAACGAAACGACCTGTTGAAGATTGCAATTGAATTTTGGATGGTCTTTTGCTTCCCAATCTGACAAAGCCAAAAGGCTGGGTTTCTTTGTCTCAACTGGGGTCGAGGGTTGACTTGAGGTGACCCGAAGAAGCACCCAAACCTTTCCGATGAGGTTGCTTCCTTGCAATTTTTCTTGCACAGCGAGGCAGACTGCAGTTTAGAAATGTTTAGAATGATTTGTGTAGATGTACAGTGTAGATTGACAAAGATGCTTGCCGCCAGAAATATTGCTCCGGTAGAAAAATGTAAGGGTATTAAAGGACCACGACAAGAGCTGGGGAACATACCCTCCACAGCACGTGTACATGTCTTCTTCAGATGAAATCATTTCAGTTCTGTTGCGATAGGGCCGATAGGCTTGTCTGCCTGAAAGAGATGAAGCCACAGACTGACTCAGGACCTGCAGGAATTTCAAGAAATCTTCAACTTGGTGGATACGGACCGGGGAGGCTCCATCGGCACTGAAGAACTTGCCAGGTGCGCTGGCATCTGAAATTCGGAGTCTGACAGCAGTACAGGAATGTGGGATCAAACAGGAACCATTGCGTGGTGATGTGAGTCTGGGAACACACCTTGAGGAACAATTTCGCAGGTTAATTTTCTGTTCGACAATGTTTCAAGCTGTGCTGCTGAGTGACTTCTGCTAAATTTTCCGGGCAATCTGCTTCTACAGAACGATAAGCTCCAGTAAGCCTTTTGAAGAGTATCTCAATCAAGCGTCCGCAGTTAGAAGATACGCTGTGGAAGTGACATTGCTTCGTTAAAAACTTTTCTCATTGCTGCTGAACAGTTTCCTGTTCGGATCTGTTCGGAGTCACACATACAATGCGCACCTGCACATGACAAGACGCTACTAGTACAACAGGACATGGCACTGGCACAGCAGGTCCACTGTTGTCTCCTTGTTGCACATTTGTTGCACTTGTGTTTTCTAGTGGCATTGGTGTTGTGGAGTTGTGCCAGGCTAATGGACACCTTGGGGATCCGTCCCTTGGCTGCAGCTGGCAGCCGGCCGTCTTGGACTCTTCGGCATTGCCACTCTGAGTGCCTCTGAGGCACAAGCCCGGAGGAATTGAAGCTCATGGTCTCAGAAATCGATGAGTGCGCCGGGCTGCCATTCCCAATTGAGTGGAAGGCCTTGCAAAACTTGTGAAGGCTTCACAAGGCCCCCAGGTTTGAAGTTCAAATGTGAGTTTGCTTTCCAAGGTGTTGTGTAGACCTTGCTCAGCTTTGCAAGAGTGACACATATTGTGCACTTACCAAGGCATTTTGATTTCTTTTGATGTATATCCCTGCTGGTGCACTTGGTGTACTTGGCCCAGTGCTTATTATTACTATATATATATGTATATATATATATTCTTTTTATTGTCCTCTTCACCAGCACGACTGGACAAAGACGTCGCTTGTTTCTTCCACGCTCCAGCTTCAGAAGCCAGGAACGGTAACGGCGAGATTGACTTTGAGGATTGAGCTGGTAAAATTTGCAACATTAGCAACTTAGGGGGGAACCATGCACTACAACTGGATCTTGTTTTTGACACGTCTCTGTATGTGTTTATTGAAGGATGGCAGGGAGGATCAAGAAGCAGACTTCTTAAACATCATTTGTATCAACATCACCATTTTGAACACATGAAGCTGCATGATGTCTCTCAGCACAACGCTTTTCAGGGGAAAACACATATTTACTGTATTTGGGTCGAGTGCATGTGAGCACCCCTTATAGTGAACTGTTGACTAACTGAAATGCTGGATTGCAATCGAGAAACGTATCTAGATTTACATGACGGGAAACGAAAGTCAAGATGATGCTGACTTGACCTTCAGCATCGTGCAATGGTATTGTGTTTATCTGTCATCCCGATTCTAGGAGTTTGTGCAAGTGATGTGTAGAAAAGCCAGGCCCCCAGGTATGAAACCAAAAGGGTCGAGACTCAAAATGGCTTTGGAAGCAGGCCCAACCTTACAGGCTGTATGCTGATGAGTCGCGTTTCTTCGCATTTTTCAAAAACTTGCTAGGCAGCCACAGGAGTGATGGGCCCGTATCATCCAAAATTAACCGCCTTCGGCATTCCGCTGGCCCTCTGGCCTTTGGCCTACAGGCCCAAAGCAGGGGTTGTCTAAAGCTGGATGGTGTAAAAGGTGGTTTGCGTAAAATGCTGTTTGTCGAAAAGTTGGTTTGTGTAAAAGCTGGTTGGTGTAAAAGCTGGTTTGTAAAAGTTGGTTGGCACAAAACGTTGTTTGTGTAAAAGCTGGTTGGTCGAAAAGTTGGTTTGCGTAGAAGCTGGTGCGTGTAAAAGCTTGTTTGTGTAAAGCTGGTTGGTGTAAAAGGTGGTTTGTGTAAAAGCGGGTTTGTGTGAAAGCTGGTTTCTGCAAAAAGTGCTTGGTGCAAAAGAGTGTTTGTGTAAAAGCTGGCTGTAAAAGTTGGTTTGTGTAAAAACTGGCGTGTGTAAGGCCTTGGAGAGCAAACAGGCAGGAGTCAGGTTGGCAGATGCAAGCGGCTGTGAGAGTGCATGCGGAGAAGGCCGTGAGTGCAAAGGAAAAACAGGACTGGCAGGTGCTTATGGAAAGTGTGGGGCGCAAAAGCGGCAGGTTAGAACGTACTTCTGCCTGGAGCGGGCAGGAAATCTATGTGAAACATCTTAGGAAAATGACGGATTTCAGGGGCGAGAACGGGCCGTAAAATGGACACATGCCGCATCCCAGGGGTGAGCCGGAAGAAGAAAATGAACCTGATGATGATGATGACGATGATGATGATGATGATGAATGATGATGATGATGATGATGATTATTATGATGATGGTGATGATGATGATGACGATGATTATGATGATGATGATGATTATGATGATGGTGATGATGATGATGACGATGATTATGATGATGATGATGATGATGAATGATGATGATGATGATGATGATGATGAATGATGATGATGATGATGATGATGAATGATGATGATGATGATGATGTTGATGATGTTGATGATGGTGATGGTGATGGTGATGGTGACGATGATGATGATGATGATGATGGTGATGATGATGATGATGATGAAGATAAATAAGGTCAGTGCTAGGTAGCTTGAGAAAAGAGACGAGACGACACGAGACTATACTAGATTTTACTATAAAGACTTTACCAGACTACACTAAACTAGATTATACTCGACTATACTAGGCTATAGTGTATGCGTGGGGGGCGGGGGTCAGGGGGGGCAGGGCAGCGAAAACAAAAATCTTTCGAAGGAGCAATGATACACAAAGGTAAAGCTAAAGCTATCACAAGACGTATCGCAAGAACATCCACAAAACATGCAGCAGGCGGGCGGATTTGAAGCAAGGGAGCACCATCTTCTCTAGTGACTGATGGCGTGGCGAGATCGATGATTGTGGAGACTGAGGTAAACACAGACTACACGGCGGATGAAGTCCGAAAAGCCTTCAAGGCGATCCCAAAATTTGGTTTGTTTAGAAACATGTTCAGAAAGAAAGGTGCGTCTTTGTCCACGAACAATTTTGCAACCAAATTATATAGTTCCTTCGAAGAGTCCGCCAATTTCCGCCAGTATCTCGACAGATTGACTTCTCAACCAGCATCAGTCGTCCTAGCGCAGTTCGTTCCAGTCATGAGAGGTCTTTGCTGGCAACGCACCCGACGGTTGCATTCGCGTGAAAGACCTGGAGCAAGCTTTGCAGGTCAGCGACCCAGAAGGTAGTGAATTTCCTGAGCGACTCTCGCCACATATCACATCAAACAATACCAACACTTGTTGACACGTGATAACATTAGGAATTAATTGTTATGATCTCAATACAAATTATGAAATAGTATATAGTATACAGTTACTTCTCAGCGGGACTTGCAGGTCCTCAGAATTAATTAGAGCGTTCTTGTGTGCATACTTTGCCAATTCTACACAGACAATGGTTACCCTGTCACAAAAAGAGACGGAGCAGTTGAGACTGACTGGCAGAACATTTCTTCCCAGCTTGCTGGCTGTTGGTGGTTTCTATGTTTAAAGATTGACAACCAAACCTTTGGGACATGCAGAAAAGATTGGTGAGTTTGTCTTTTCCCAGAGCGCTGCTATCGGGCTAGAGCTTTGTAGAAAGATTCACATTAACGGGATCCAATTCATCCGACGGGTATCCATCGGTATCCATCGGTATCCTATTCAAGGTGCACCAGGGTGAACCATCCTCCATTTATCCGAAGGCTTACGGCCGGGAGAAGTTGACCGC